GGCCAGAATATCCAGTTTGAAGACAGAAGGACAGGTCTATCTCTGTGTGTCTCTCTCTCTTCCTCTCCGTTCCTCTCCCCTCCCTCTCCTTCCCCCCCCCCTCCCCCTCTCTCTACTCTCCAGACCTACTATGGTCAAATGATAGTGAGATAGATGAGTATATTAACCTAACTCCTGATTCCTACTTCATTGGGAGACTTTTTACCCTATAAATATTTATCCATAATAAATACTGGAAAGTACTCTACATCTGAAACTAATACTACATTAAATGTTAATTAATTGAATTTAAATTAAAAATGCAAATATAAAATTAAAAAATAAATAAAAATTAAAAGTCTCCTTTAAAAAATACATACATACATACATACATCATACTGGATAGTGTTATTTTATCTGTTACTACTAGCCCTGTGCATCTTTTCTATATTTGTTAGTACAATAATTGTGTATTGGTGATTGTCAAAACCACATGGCTATTAATTTTCATTTTTGAAAACTTATGAAATAACTCATATCCACAGTTTTCATAACTTGTTTTTATCATGGCACTCTCTGTAATGTACTCTTAAAACAAAAAAACCTCTGTAACACATCAGTTTTTCCTAATCATGTTTCCAAATAAAAGTTACTTTTTAAATAACACTTTTATAGTAAATTTAAAAATTGTGATATAAATATAAATATTTATTCTTAGTCATACTAGATTATCCTTAGTCACATAAGAATATTTTAGATGATTGATAGACAATGTAAGAGATTTTATTCTTAGAGTTGAGGGAAAAAAAACACAAAAGATTTCATTTGGTTAGGGATTACTTGACTTGGAGTTGTTAGCAGTTATGGAAATAATCATCTCTTAACATCATTTTATGAACTTCTGCCAGTGATTTTGGAACACATCCAAAACTATTAAAGATGTTTTGTAGCTAACTTTAAAACAATTGTTGACCTCAGCCAGCAGACCTACATGACAATTTTTTGTTTGTTTTCTTTTTTAACTCACTCTGGAAAGGTGAAGAAAAAATAAAAATCAGTTCAAGAAAGCAGCCAACAGAGACTCTTCCTAACATCTGTTAGTGAAATGATGATAAAAAACCCAACATTTTGTTTTCATAAAGTTATTGGGTTCAAGTTAAAAAAAAAAACAAAAACACAACCGAATTCCAAGAGCAGAAAGGCTTAAAACAAGGTAGAAATCTTATAATGTGTAATTGTTTTTTTTAAGATTCAGAACTTTCTGTTTAAATAAGTTCATCATAGGTAACCACACATTTTAAGTATTTTTACTTAATTAAAAAGCAAACCTTGAAGTAAATAGAACCAGAGGAAGCAACATAGCTAGAAGACATTTAAAACCACAGAAATAAATATTCAGATACCAAGAAATAATATCTATTTATTAATTTACTAAAACCAATCCCCTTTATAATTGTTTTACGTTCATAGTTTTGCCAATTCAATCAATCATCTCTTTTTTGGTGTTTGGGACATTTTTTTCTATTCAAAGATATACATATAAAAGTAATGAAGAAATTAATAAAATTCCTGAGTTAGCAGCCGTTATTTTCCATAGAACTTTTAAAGTGATTTTTGAAAATTTAAGAAATCTTTCTCAAAGGACGTTTTAGCAAGTAGGAAACTGGAATTGAGAAAAGGGGAAAATAATTGGACCCAGTTCTCAATCTTCCAGTCTCAGTTTGGACTAAAGTTTACCTCAAATGAAAGACAACCCAAGCCTGCTGAAGAAAATAAACATTCTCAGTAGGCAGTGCAGTGTTTGAAAAGTTCAAAGATATGATGATGTGGAGGGAACAAAGATTATCTTTTTCTATTTTGCCCAGATTTTCCCCTCAACTGGTTTCTATGGAATATGAATCTTCATTGTTTTGTCTAAAAAATCTACTAAAGTCGTTCAAAAATCACAAGAAATGCCTGTCACAATCAGAATTTCTCTGAGGGCACTAATTTACACATTGCTAAAGGAGAAAAGAGGCTTTTTCAAAGTGTGCTTTGAAAGTTTCACAGAATAATGATTTGGAATCAGAATTATTGGGAAAACGTTCAGTGATCATGTCATTTAAATGTAGGTGTAACACAGAATGAACGTATGAGGTCCTGGCTTTCCTGCCTTGGTCAGCTTAGTGTCTTCCCTCCCTCTATTCTCTGAAGATCCAGACCCTCTTTGGGATCTACAAAATAAAATTGGCGAAGGAGAGTAGAAACTGGAAAAGAAAGGCATATAGGGGTGAGAGTAGGGTTTAGAGGACTATGGGACATTCTGGTATGTGGCAGAGTATGTGGAAAAGGGAAAAGGAGGACACTTAAAAAGTTTGCTTGGACCCCTTCATGATTTTTTTTTTTTAATACACAAGCAAAAGCGGTATTTTGAAATTACTCTTTGGTGACCTGACATCTCTCTAAGACTGGGCCACGTAGGTCACTGCTTTATACAAATATATTTACAGCTGTCAATGAAAGCAATCAGCTCAATTCTACATTCTTTGCAATAGACACCAGCTTTGCCAATTTGCCTAATGAAGATGTTTGCAATTTAGAGATAGAGAACCTGAATAGTTGAACAATGTTAGACAGGAGAACTAGACATTTGAGGCCTGTAGGTTTCTAAGAGTTTTCATTTCACAATTACATTTGCTGTCCAGGCTTCTCAGGGAGAGGGAAAAAAAAAAAAGTTATCCCAAATAGCATGTATTCCTTAGGAGTGATGAAGTCTTAGGACAGTGTCATAATTTACATGTCAGTGTCCATATACATGAATAAATCAAAGATGGCGTGTTCTATGAAACATTTTTCACTCCTTCCCAGAAATGTAATATGTTATTTCACATTCAAGAAATTCTGATCTCTTAGGAACTTTTTTTGAAATCCTTGAACTCATGGTTTTTTGGTCCTCCTTTAGTCTATTTATTTCTATTCCTGGGTCTTCAATCAGCCTACCTGCTAAGTCTAAAGCAGTGGTTTCCACCAAGTATGATTTCCCCACCCCCACCCCCCCGGGGGCATTTGGCAATGTCTGGAAACCTTTTTGGTTGTCATGACTTGGGTTTGCTACAGGGGAGATGGAGGTTCTACTGGCAGAAGCCAGGGATATTGCAAAACATCCTGCAGTGCACAGGACAGCCCCCCACAACAAAGAATGAGCTGGTTCCAATGGTTAATAGTGCCAAGATGGAGAAACCCTCATCTAGAGCCTCCCCGCTGAGGTTGCGATGCCCTGCTACTTCTCCTACTTTTCCAGTTACCACCGCCCAGCTTCCATCTTCCTGTTGTGCCTTCATTATAACCACCAATTTCTCACCTTATCCCATCTTCGTTAGATTAATGGACCTTTCCACCCGGCGTCCTTGCTAATCTGCAGTCCTTCCCCATAGTTCTGCTTGGGGGAAACACGATGTGGAGCCCAGTGTAGTAGTATAGTAATAAACTCCGTGGGCTTTGGGAATAGACTGGATGAGTTCAAATCCCAGCCCCATCACTTACTACTTCGATAATCTTGACCGAGGTTTCTTACCCTCTCTGGGTCTCAGTGTCCCCACCTGCAAAACAGGTGGATAAAAATGGTGGTACCTGACCACAGAGAATTGTTGTGAGAGTTAAATGAGTTAATACTTGCAAAGCACAAGGAATGTTGCCTAACACCTAAGTGCTTAATAAATGTTAACTACTGTTGGGGCATCTGGTTGGCTCAGTCAGTTAAGTGTCTGACTTCTGGTTTCGGCTTAGGTCATGATCTCAGGGTTGATAGATCGGCCCCACGTCCATTGTGGAGCCTGCTTAAGACTCTCTCTCTCCTTTTGCTCCTCCCCCTACACACTCTCTCTCTCTCTCTAAAATAAATAAATCAATCTTTAAAAAAAATGATATTTTCTTTTTCTTTTTTTTTAAAAGATTTTATTTATTTCTTTGACAGAGAGAGACACAGCGAGAGAGGGAACACAAGCAGGGGGAGCGGGAGAGGGAGAAGCAGGCTTCCCGCCGAGCAGGGAGCCCGATGCGGGGCTCGATCCCAGGACCCTGGGATCACGACCTGAGCCGAAGGCAGACGCTTAATGACTGAGCCACCCAGGCGCCCCCAAAATGAAATTTTCTATATAAGTTTATGAAAGTGATGATGATCTCATCGTTGTCATTGTCGATTATTATCAGATCACACCAGCCACCATAATTGGTCAGTCATTTCAATCCTATAGACCAATCCTGGAAAATTACTGAAATTTTTGGGAGAAAAATAAAGATGTTCTGCTTGCATTTTTCATCATATTTGTAATACAAGGTTTATATACAGTATATATTATATATACATTTCCTAGTCAAAAATATGTTAAATGACCCATTTCTATACAATGTAAGTATAATCAGGGATAAGTTTGTAAAGCAACTTAAACCCTTAAATAATTAGCTTTTATCTTAAAGGGGCAATACCTTAGGCACTAGATTGCCTATTAGGCTAAATTAAGGACAAAGACACTTGTTTAACTATCAGGCTTGGGGCGCCTGGGTGGCTCAGTCCGTTGAGTGTTTTTGGACTCTTGGTTTGGGCTCAGGTCATGATCTTGGGGTCCTGGTATCTAGCCCAGAGTCAGGCTCTGCAGTCAGTGGGCAGTCTGCTTCTCTGCCTCTCCCTCTGTCCCTCCCTCTGCTCCCACGTTCTCTAAAATAAATAAATAAATCTTAAAATAAAACAAAAAAACCTTTCACAATCAAGCTTGTGAAATTGTGTTGTTTGTCATGGGGCCCTTACAGATCCGTGGGTTTTGCTTTGTGAAGGGAGGGCAGAAAACCACAATACAGAAAATGGAAGAGACATAGAGGGTTTGGCTTGGTTTTTCTTATTTTGATACTTTAAAACCTATGGGATATGAATGTGTGAAACTGTCACCAAACTTTAGGCCAGTTTTCCTCAATGTTGCATTCCATTCAAATATTTGCAAGTGGCCTTTGGTACTATTTTAATTATCCTATCTGTTTTAATCTTTCAGATCATAAGGCCTATGGATTCTCTGCCCCAAAAGACCATCAAGTGGTCACAGCAATAGAGTATCAAGGTAGAGTAACTTATGCTTTTCACAGACTATGTTGTTCAAATGACTCACAAGTATGACGTGGGTGATGTTATCTATTTGTTGGGACCCTCTGCCTTACCTCACACCAATTCTTCCTTCCAAAATGTTGCTCTGTGCTGTTTCCACTTGAGAACTCTTTCTCCACCTCCTCAGTGGAAATGAAAGACCTGATGTACCAAGAAGGCCTCTAATTGCCTAAATTATCTGCAACAAAGCAGATCTAATTTGTGAAACTGGTAGACAGAGGTTTTGCAAAGTTTCCAGCCAGCTGGATATGGCAAATGGAAATTAACACCGCAAACCCCACTCTACTTAATGTTTTTAAGATGACATTAATATAGCCTATTTTGGGGTGCCATTTTGTTATGTATTTTAGCTTCTTAAATATATTTACAGTAGGGAGTTGGTGTTTAATGGATATAAACTTTCACTTTTGCAAGATGAAAAAGTTCTAGAGATTGGTTGCTTAACAATGTGGATATATGTAACACTACTGAATTATTAAAAATCATTAAGATGGCAAAAAGTTAAAAAGTGTTAAGATGGTAAATGTTAAGATCTATGTATTTAACCACAATTTAAAAAAAAATTTTAAAGACTCTAATACCCAAGGAAAACTTTATAAGGGCTTCTATAAGTTTACTTCAAATATTGACCACCTACTACTATTCTGAAGGCTCTTTTACCTAGAACACAATAATACTAGGCAACCAGAAGAATTACTGTGTCCTAAGTATGATGCTAGTTTGGGCCAGAGATTGCAAACATTTAAGAAACAAGTTTCAAATGTGTCTGAACTCTCGTCTTCAGGTATGTCTTAGGTTCTTGGCATTGGGAGAGACAGGTTTGAAGGAAAGAGACAAAGATTAAAGAAGAGAACTGGATGGGACGGAACTAAGTAGATTAGTATTTAGCTAGTACTTCTAATAGTGCCCGGCACACAGCGTTATATGTGCTTCTTCAGCAAAAATATGCTACAGTAAGAATTGGCATGCCATTCACAAGTACACATCACTTGATAACAAATCACTTAAATAACTATTTCAGTTAATGAAGTCCTAAAATATTACATGATTAAGCTAATAAAAGACTCAAACTTTATCATGAATTAGTTTTAAGTGGAGAGACGTGGGAAGAGCAAATTTATGATTGGGAGTGATGTAGGGCTATGGAGCACTTGAAGTGGGAGATAAACAGGGCTGGACAAGGTGTTGAAAAGGAGACTAGAAAGGCTAAAAGAGGGACCACACAGTGAGAGGAAAAGATGGGCCAGGACTCTGTAAGGACAAAAGAAGTGAATTGCCCTACTTTGTACTTTCCTGAAGGTTCTCACTGTTGGGCCCAGTGGGTACCATGAATATACATCCCTGCTCCCCCCCACCCCCCGCCACGCAGGCCCTATGGCATGATACCTCAATTAGGATGCCAAAGTTAAATTCTACAGTCTTACATTACTTTAAAAAAAAAAAAATGCATGGAGGTGAAATTCATATAACATTAAACCAGCACATTCAAGTGAACAGGTCAGTGGCGTTTAGTACATTCACAATGCTGTGTAACTACCACCTCTGTCTAGTTCCAAAAATTCCCATCACTCCAAATTAAAATTGTGTACTATTTACATTACTTTTTAATGTGTATTTTATTTTTAATATAAAAAATCCTTCTATAATTTATTGCAGTCAAATGTTAGTCTTATTCCTGAATAAGTATTTTCCATTTTTATTCTTTTGTTTCCCCTCTCCTCTTTTAAAGTAAGAATTATAGGGGCACCTGGGTAGCTCAATCAGTTGAGCATCCAACTCTTGGTTTCGGCTCAGGTCAGAATTTCAGGTTCCATGGGGCGCCTGGGTGGCTCAGTCGTTAAGCATCTGCCTTCGGCTCAGGTCATGATCCCAGGGTCCTGGGATTGAGCCCCACATCGGGCTCCCTGCTCCATGGGAAGCCTGCTTCTCCCTCCCCCACTCCCCCTGCTTATGTTCCCTCTCTCGCTGTGTCTCTCTCTCTCAAATAAATAAATAAAATCTTTAAAAAAAAAAAAAAAGAATTTCAGGTTCCTGAGATAGAGCCCCACATGGGGGGGTGGGGGCTCTGCGCTCAACAGGAGTCTGCTTCTCTCCCTCTGCCCCTCCCCCCACTCACGTGCACATGTGCTCTCTCTCTCTCTCTCACACACACACAAATAAAATAAATAAATCTTTAAAGACAAAGATTTATATTTTGATTCTATTTTATATGTGCCCCAGTCGTTCCAACTTGGCTCTCCTTAAAGCAAAAATAAATTTCTATCTTCTTCCACATTTTAGTTGTAGCGTATTTCACGCAATGACTTGATTTTAGTTAAAGTGTAAAATATCTTGCGATTTGTGTATATGTGTGGGTGTGTTCCACCTAATTCATTTCACTTTTTTGCCTCTTGTCTCTCGGATGTCAACAAATCATGAATTAATTCCTTCTTTGCAGTGCGGCTGTTTTGTATCACTTCCCACAGTGGTGCCAAGAACAGAATGAGACTGAAGTGATAGCAGCTTTGCTAAGCTTATAAGTTGTATGAGCAGCCTTTATGCAGAATATCCAGCCCTGTGAGCTATAAATCAGGTTAATAGCCTGCTTTTCTTCACAGAAGTAATTCTTGGTAATTCTTCAGAGCTGTGTTGGTCGTACCAATTCTATTTTTGCTTATATAAGATTTTGATGATTTTTAACTTCAGCACAGAGAATAACATCAAAAGATAATTAGCAGTACAGAATCCTGGAAAAACTAAAATTCACAGTGATTTCTATTGATGTCATCCCTAAAAGTGACTATTTTGCTACATGAAAATAGTTATTGCTAATACGTTTTTTCTAAACAAAAGAATCATCTTTTCCCTGACCCAAAGGAAACATATTTTTGGGAATGAAATGATCATCTTAATGAAAAAAACTTGGTGCATTTTTATGCTTTTGTATGCCTTGTTTTGAGAAAATATGATTTATGTCTGTATCCTATTCTTTGCTGTCGCAAAGGTAGCGGTTTTAGTTCAAATTTGAGTGATTCTTAGGTAAATTTGGGGTGTAGAAAGTGGGGATTTCTATCATGTCAAGGCATACAACTACAAGTAAAAGAAGTTTCTCAGGGGTGAAAGCAGTAATAACCACTGATGGAGCACGCACCATGTACAAAGTACCAAACATACCCAAGTGTATTGATATATTACCTCACTTAAACTTCACACTAGCTTCATGAGATGAGTACTGTTATATTGTTTCTTTTTACAAATATGAGTATAGGGACGTTTGGGTGACTCAGTTGGTTAAGCATCTGCCCTCAGCTCAGGTCATGATCCCAGAGTCCTGGGATCGAGCCCCGCATCGGGCTCCTTGCTCAGTGGAGAGAGCCTGCTTCTCCCCCTACTCCTCACCCTGCTCGTGCTCTCTCTCTCTCTCTCAAAATAAATAAAATCTTAAAAAAAAAAAAATGTGAGTATAATTTTCAAAAACAGTTAAGTAATTTGCCCAACATCGCACCCACAGTGTATGGCGGAGGTCTAACTCCAAAAGGCCTTATGGTATAATAACCTCCTACTACCTTATGGTATAATAACCCTAAGGGCTACGTACAAGATTATACTGGTTGTGAGTGTTGCATTTTAACTGAAAAGAGAGAGGAGAGTCCATGGTAGTTAGCTTCTCAGTTCATCTGGTTCTTTATCCTCAGATGTTGACCCCATGATTCCAACTGACTTACTGTTTCTCCCAGTTCCAGAGGTCATGGTGTTGGCACCTTCAGATCAAGGCACTGACCGTGGCCTTGCTTGGAGTAGTCCCAAAGAAACACGTGGTGAATTCCAATTTCGAATTCTATGAAATTTGTACTCAAATTCTAAGGAATTCTAATTTCTTTTTTTCAGTCTTTGGTCAAATGTCACTCTCTAAATGAGTAGAACTCTGACTATTCAGGTGTTTTGTAATTGCACACCAACACTCCTGATCTACTTTATTTCCATAGCACTCATTACCTCCGAATGTAGCATTTAATTCACTTTATGATATTTCTTGTGTGCCTGACTCACCCTGCAAATTGTGAGACCTGAAAGAACAGGGATCTTTGTTTTGCTCACTGATATAGCTCAGGAACAATGGTATAATAATAAACTATAAATGAATATAATAAATTAATAATAAACTGGACACACAGTAAGTACTCAACAGTTGGATGACTTAGACCATCTCCACACATCCTCCATGGTCTGAGTGAGGCGAGAGAATGGTGTCACTGCATTTAGGAAAACCATTGGTTTCGTTTTTGAATATAATTTCTGCAGAGGTTTTCCATAGAGCAATGAGGGCAGAAGTCAAATCTTCTTGATGAAAAGGGCTCCGTGTGTGTGTGTGTATGTGTGTGCCTGTGTATGTAGTTAAATATATGAAACAACGTGACCAAGTACAAATTTATTCCTAAGACCTGAGTGTGTGGGCTAAAAATGAGTGTGGGTGTGTGTTTAATTGTTGGAAACTCAACAAAATACGGGAAGGAAACCTATCTCAAACTCAAGACTCCGGAAAGTCACCACCCATTCTCCTTAATCAACAGAACAGAACCATGTTTCCTCAGACAAGTCCCTCAGCACATATTTGTCTTTGTAGCATAATTGTAAACATGTCTGTAAAATGATGTCTCTTTGTCATGTAAAACCTGCTCTAAAAACTTTAGGCACCCTTGAAAATAATTTTGGGGGTTTTTTTCCCCCTTGCCTTTCTTTTCTCTGTCCTATTTTCTGTTTTCCATTACCTTGTATTCTATTTCTGTATTTCTAGCAGTATGTGTGGAACTAAAAGGAAAATTAGAAACTACATATAACAAAAAGAAAAACCGTAATTCTATCACACAGAACTCATCACTGGGTTAATATTTTCATACATATTTTTTGGCTTTTTGTCCATATCTATGTGTATATTAATAAAACTTGGGATAATAAAAGTACTGCTCTCTAATCTACCATATCATATATCCTGAATTTTTTAATTAACATATAATGTATTATTTGATTATATTAACATATAATCACAGGTCTGTGATTCATCAGTCTTACACAATTCACAGCGCTCACCATAGCACATACCCTCCCCAATGTCCATCACCCAGCCACCCCATCCCTCCCACCTCCCTCCACTCCAGCAACCCTCAGTTTGTTTTCTGAGATTAAGAGTCTCTTATGGTTTGTCTCCCTCTCTGGTTTCATCTTGTTTCATTTTTCCCTCCATTCCCCTATGATCCTCTGCCTTGTTTCTCAAATTCCACATATGAATGAGATCATATGATAATTGTCTTTCTCTGATTGAGTTATTTCACTTAGCATAATACCCTCTAGTTTCATCCACGTCGTTGCAAATGGCAAGATTTCATTTTTTTTTGATGGCTGCATCTGAATTGTTTTTTAAAATGGCATTAAATCTTTAAAAATAAAATCATAAAAAAAATAAAATGGCATTTAATCTGCTACATCAAAATCAGAGGTATGGAAAGGATTTTGAACCTCCTCTAGTCAAAGATGTGTGCTTTTGGGGTCAAACTGAATGCATTGTGGGAAAAAAATGTCTCAGAAACATGAAGATGACACACTAGAGAGCGTGACTGAAACATACTTTAAAAATATTTACAACCGGAGGTTTCCTTTTGGCAACTCAAAGCAGTTGGCAGATAGGTGCTGGACTTCCCCTCCTCCCCCCAGTCATCTTGTTTGGACAGTTAAAAGAGGGGGTTCCTTCAGAGGTTCCAGGAATTCTTTAATGACGTAACTACAGTAAATTTCCTGCAATAAAGTGACTTAAATGAGCTACAGTGAGGCAGTTAAACTTGATGCCAAGATTAAATCTTCTCATAATTTATCTGGATAGAGATAAGAATTAGGAACCCATGATTTAGTAGAAGATCGTATCGGGTTTGTATCAATATATCCATAGAGAGGGTTATCAAAGAATGGGTCTGAGTGAGAACGTACATGTTGAAGGAATGTTTGTGGATCCCATAGGCTGCACTGAGTGCCTTTCTCTGTTTACCTCCATAGCATTCATGGCACTATGAACAATGGAACAAAATTACATTATCTTATTTATCTCTTCTCCCAGGCTGTAAATTCCCTGATGACTGAGACTGGGAATAGTAAGATAGTAAGATAAATGATAAATAACTGCCATTTTTAAATTACTTACCATGTCCAGGCATGTGTGCTTTGCATGTATTACTGTATTTGAAGACTCACTACAACTCTATGACATACTATCTTATTTCACAGATGGTAACTGAGGCTCAAGAATTAGGGTCAGTAGCCTAGTGTCATGCAATTATTATGGAGAAGAGCTATAATGCTTTCGATTCATCTTTGGGTTAAGCCAATATGGTGCCCATTAAAGTAATTTATGAATGAATGAATGAAAGAATTGAATGAATGAATGGAAGTATAAAGAAATAGCTTAAGGCTGTTTAAAAATTTACTTAAGTAAAATATAAATTCATAGGGACAATTAGAAAACAAGTATTTTTGTTGTTGTTCCTAGAGGTTATTTTAGCCTGTAAATATCCAAAGAAGACCATTTCCTCCAGATTAGAGTGGAAGAAACTGGGCCGGAGTGTCTCCTTTGTCTACTACCAGCAGGCTCTTCAAGGTAAGTAGCTGTAAACTTGATGAGGTGAGAGCAAGTGAACACCAAGTACAACCTGGGTTCTTTAATTTACAAATGAGAACAGGACAGGACTAGTTACTGAGAATGTGGGTTTTTTAAATCATTTTATTTTGTTTTATTTTATTTTATGTTATTTTCATCATGATAAGTATACTCTTAATCCCCCTTTTCTATTTCCCCCATTCCCCTACCCACCTCCCTCTGGTAACCATCAGTTTGTTCTCTATAGTTAAGAGTCTATTTCCTGGTTTGCCTCTCTCTCTCTCCCTCTCTCTCTCGCTCTTTTTTCCTCTGCTCACTTGTTTTGTTTCTTCAATTCCACATATGAATGAGATCATATGGTATTTGTCTTTCTCTGACTAACTTATTTCGTTTAGCATAATACCCTCTAGCTCTATCCATGTTGTTGCAAATGGCAAGATTTCATTATTTTTATAGCTGAGTAACATTCCATTGTATACTTATATACTATATATATGGGCTGCTTCCATAATTTGGCTATTGTAAATAATGCTGCAATAAACATAGGGGTGCATGTATCACTTTGAATTAGTGTTTTTGTATCTTTTGGGTAAAAACCCAGTAGTGCGATTCCTGGATTATAGGGTAGTTCTGTTTTTAATTTTTTGAGGAACCTCCATATAGTTTTCCACAGTAGCTGTGCCAGTTTGCATTCCCACAGGGCACAAGGGTTCTCCTTTTCTCTACATCCTCACCAACACCTGTTGTTTCTTGTGTTTTTGATGTTAGCCATTCTGACAGGTGCGAAGTGATACCTCATTGTAGTTTTGATTTGCATTTCCCTGATGATGGTGACGTTGAGCATCTTTTCATGTCTGTTGGCCATTTGTCTATCTTCTTTGGAAAAATGTCTGTTCATGTCTTCTGCCCATTTTTTAATTGGATTCCTTGTTTTTTGGGTATTGAGTTGATTCAGTTCTTTATATATTTTTATCGGAGATATCATTTGCAAATATCTTCTTCCATTCCATAGGTTGCCTTTTAGTTTTGATTGTTTCCTTCGCTGTGCAGAAACCTTTTATTCTGATGTGGTCCCAATAGTTTATTTTTGCTTTTATTTCTCTTGCCTCTGGAGACCTATCTAGAAAACTTGCTACAGCCAATGTCAGAGAGAGCCCATGTTCTCTTCAAAGATTTTTATGGTTTCAGGTCTCACATTTAAGTCTTTAATCCATTTTGAGGGTTTTTTTTTGTATGGTGAAAGAGAATGTGTTTTGTAAGTGTGAGATGAAACCAACAATGACTGAGACCTAGAATGCAATCACCACAAAAATGGAACAGAGAACAGAAGAAAGTCAACTCCATGGAGACCCTGGACCCTTCATGTCTCAGCTCAGCCCTAAAGGATGTAAAATGGAATGGCTCTTGCTGGCCCAGTAGATTAGACTCTTGAGAGAAAGGAAAAAGAGATGATGTGGAAGTGAGATGAAGGGTCACTGCTCGGTGGTAATAATTTTACCCTATTTCCATATCGCCATCTAGAAAGCTAAGCCATCACTAAGAAGCCTTTGCAGTTGAGACTTAGACTTATGGCAGGGGAAGGTAAATACAACCACCTTTAACAGTGCTTTATTTTAATTCTTTGTTATACATTTCTTTCCACTTACTGTTTTTCCTGTTGAATATATAATGAGCTTTTAAAGCATTGATAATAATGGATAAAATGCTATGGTGTTGGGATTTACCTCAAAATAATTCAATGTTTAGATGTGCAGATGGAATAGGATAGGCCATGCATGGATTACTGTTATCGCTGGGTGATGAGATTTATTTTACAATACTCTGTAATTTTTTGTGTGCTTGAAATTTTCCATTATAGACATTCAGAAGTTGCAAATATAATTTAACAAGTGTAAGAAGCATGGTATTATTTTAGAATGCTATGCATTACTTTAATTTTAAAGAATTAAACACATGAACAAACGTTCAAAGTCCATAAAGAATTTAAAATACCCCTCTTGTTCTCATCTGTCAAGATAAGACTGCTGTGGGCCACAGGGCTGTCTTTGCGTGTATTTTCTCCTATTGCCAATCTAGCACCTGAATGTTCTATAAAGCGCTATTTTCATTCTGTACATATTATTACCAAAAACTAATCAAAAGAGTGTTTTTAAGACCCCTTCATCTTTTCTTTTGTGGCAGTATGATGTGGGCCACCGCACATAAATTTACTCTTCCAGCTAATTGAACTAGATGCTGCAGTGTCTTCTGAAGGTGGGAATGTTTGTGTAAGCATATTAGAAAGGGGATGAGGCAGGAATGAGGATTGAATCCTCTAACATATGAGAATATTGAACTGAATGTTCTTTTGTGAACTGTATGTCATTCTAAAAAACAAGAAGAAATTTGAAATAGCAGCATCTGCATACGGTGTTTTGAGTTTTTATTTTTTTATTTAAATTCAATTAGCCAACATATAGTACATCATTAATTTCAGATGTAGAGTTCAATAATTCATCAGTTGCGTATAACACCCAGTGCTCATCACATCACGTGCTCTCCTTAATGCCCATCACCCAGTTACCACATCCACCCACCAACCTCCCCTCCAGGAACCCTCGGTTTGTTTCCTATACTTAAGAGTCCTTTATTAGTTTTTAAATTGAGTTTATTAATAGGAAAATAAATGCCTTGGTCACTGAATGAAGTGACTTGAGGAAGGTAGTATATAGAAAGTTATTTGCACTGTTATTAACATCATTGTCTTCTTTTTCTAAAAGGTGATTTTAAAGATCGAGCTGAGATGATAGATTTCAGTATACGGATCAAAAATGTTACAAGAACTGATGCTGGGAAATATCGCTGTGAAGTTAGTGCCCCATCTGAGCAAGGCCAAAATCTGGAAGAAGATACGGTCACTCTAGAAGTCCTAGGTGTGATGTGCTTTTATCTGTGGGATTACTGTTCCTCACCCTCATCCCCATCCCCGAGGCAACCTGGGGCCCCAGTCAGGAAAGTTCTAGAAATCACCAACACCACTTTCCCTGTAAAATCTTGGCTATTGCCCCTTTTCACCTCATTCGCCGCTGAAATTTTACTCTTACAAATTTGTTCTGACAAATTCTCTTTTCATTTCAGATTAAAGTAAATCTTAATGGGCCTATCTTGTACATAGGAGCATTTCCCCTAAGAGTTTATTTTTCAGTACCTTCAGTACCTTCAGTATATGCGGTCTATCTCTTACTGTATAAAATCCTAACACATGAGATGACAGAAAAGCAATAAAACAAAAAAGTAGGCCAAGGAAAGTATTAGAAGTTATTTGGTAGAAAAGAAAAGAAGAGAGGAGAGGAGGGGAGGGGAGGGAAAAGAAGAGAAAAAAGAAAAGAAAAGAAAGAAGTTATTTGGTAAAGAAGGGAAATTAGTATTTATTGTGCAGCTAGTTTGTGTTAGGCTCTTTCACATACGTAATTTTACTTAATTTTTCACTGACAACTTCATTTTTATAGATGAGAAGAGAGAAGCTAAATGATTTTCCCAAGTCTACACAGCTAATAAGTGTCTGGATCAGGATTTGGATCCTGGTGGGATTAACTCCAAAGCCAGTATATTTAGCCATTATGAGAATCATTGATAGATATTAACAGCTCATGTTGACAACTGGTGGAGGAACATGATCTTTTCTTCTCCATCGATGTTAGTATAAACTGCTAATCATAGAGAGTAAAATAACTCCCCTTCCTTTTTCTATATAACCCAGGGTCTAAAATACTAGTGATGTACTAATATAGCAGAAATTTAATTCAGAAAACCTTGCAGGAGATTCCACTGGTGTATTAGTCTTCTATTGTCACATAACAGATGATCACAAACCTAGCAGCTTAAAATACCACCCATTTATTGGCTCACAGTTCTGTAGGTCAGTCCAGCTCGACAAGGTGGGGCTCGCTGCCCAGGGTATCATAAGGCTGAAATCGGGAGTCAGTGGGCTGAGTTCTTGTCTGGAGGTTCCGGGGAAAAGTCATTCTCCTTGTTGGCAGATTTCAGTTCCCATGGCTGTACAACGAAAGACTCCATTCCATGCTGGCTGTGAGCTGGGGGCCACACTCAGCTCCTGGAGGCACCACATTCCATACACAAGGGGAAACTTTTGTCCCATCATGTTGAAGTATACAGAAAGAAGGGGGATGTAGATAGTGGGTAATGACAAGTGAGAAAGAAAAGGGAGTTAGTAGATAAAAACCTGGCTGCTTTTAGGAACATGTATTGCATGAGGATCCAAGACAATGAGGAGGTGCTCCTTAGAGATTCATGGCTGTCATGGCTGCAGTCAATGGTGACCATGGCAGTATTGAGGGTGCAACAGGAGGGCACCGAAAGCATGATTCTGGGCACCCCTCTCTCCCTTGCAGCACTAGCAGGGCCACGTGGCCCTCTCCGTCTAGAGTCCAACAGAAGCATGTTGAGTCCTTCCTGTGCTCTGAATCTCTGACTTTCCCTTCTGTGACCACCCAGAGAAAACAACTTTTCAAGGGGTCGTGGGATTAGGTCAGTCCCACCTGTGTAATCTCCCTATCTTAAAAGACAATAGATTTGGGACCTTAGTTACATCTCCAAAATCTCTTCAAAGTAGTACCTAGATCCGTGTTTATGGGTCAGGCCTGGAAACGGCATAGATGACTTTTCCCACATGCCATTGGCTAGAACTCATGCATATGACCCTATCTGGGTGCAAGGGGGCTGGCGAATGTGGTCTGGCTGTGTGCCCGTGAAGAAAGGAAGTGGATCTCTTGAGCAAGTAGCCAGTCTCTATCACAGGTGTCCAACAAGCCCATCTTAACGTGGTTGTTAAAATCCTTGTTAAGCTTATAAATAACCAGTGCCATTTGACTTCCCTCCTTCAGTGGCCCCAGCAGTTCCAACCTGTGAAGTACCCAATTCTGCTCTGAGTGGAACTGTGGTAGAGCTGCGATGTCAAGACAAAGAAGGGAATCCCGCTCCTGAGTACACATGGTTTAAAGATGGCGTCCCTTTGTCAGAGAATCCAAAACTTGGCTCCCAAAGCACCAACAGCTCCTATACAATGAATACAAAATCTGGAACTCTGGTAAGGTCATTTCAAGCATTGGTGTCATAGTTGTCTTATATTTGGAGAAGAAAAATTATTAGAACTAAAATGATGGAGAAGAGAGGGCTGATACCATTTCTTATGTGGAGAGAGGAAGGGCAGTGGGAAAGATGGTGGTACCTGCCCAGGGAAGTGATGGAAAAGGCACTACCAGAGATGGGGAGACAATATAGAGAACTAATAATAATAATTTTAATAAATCTTTAAAAGATTCATTCTTTCAGTCTGCTAGTATATAATAACATTTAAAAACCAGACCCTCTGGTTAATAATAAAGCATATTTGATAAAGTGGCTAAATCATAAAGCATATCGATGGATGTGGCTCCTTTTTTAAAATTTTTTTAGAGATTTTTTTTTTTAAGATTTTTTATTTATTTATTTGACAGAGACACAGTGAGAGAGGGAACACAAGCAGGGGGGAGTGGGAGAGGGAGAAGCAGACTCCCCGCTGAGCAGAGAGCCCTATGTGGGGCTCCATCCCAGGGCCCTGGGATCATGACCTGAGCCGAAGGCAGACGCTTAACCGACTGAGCCACCCAGGCACCCCTGGATGTGGCTCCTCAAGGAGGACCACACTCCCGCCCTTGCAGCACCAGCAGGCTCAGTCAGCAGGTCCGATAGATTTTACACTGAGAACTTGGACAGAAAAACTGCTGTCACACGTTGCTATATTTACTTTTCAAATTTATTTTTTCTCGGAGCAGGTGATAAAAGCCCCAAGGCAAGTTTGATATAGATTCACTTTCCCCACTTACCTCAACCCTTGAAATATCTTTTGATGTCAAAGGGATGCACCAGGGCAGAATAAAGGTGGGTTCTTTCCTAAGAAACAGGCAACAAAGACTCCAGTGTATGGATGACAATGACTTCCTTTTAATTACCAGTTATGTCCTAGTAGATCCTTTATGGTTTTAGTCTAACTTATCATTAATACTTACCCTTGGCCTTGCATTCCTGGTGAATATTTATATAGTCTGGCTTTTGGGACAGTGAGAGAGGATTTCATAAGGTGAAATACACGAGGGGAAACTTTCTGTCCCATCATGTTGAAGTATACAGAAAGAAGGGGGATGTAGATAGTGGGTAATGACAAGTGAGAAAGAAAAGGGAGTTAGTAAATAAAAACCTGGCTGCTTTTATAACATGTATTGCATGAGGATCCAAGACAATGAGGAGGTGCTCCTTAGAGATTCATGGCTGTCATGGCTGCGGTCAATGGTGACCATGGCAGTATTGAGGGTGCAACAGGAGGGCACGAAAGCATGATTCTGTGCACCCCTCTCTCCCTCTGTGCTGGTCCTGGCAGGATCCTTTAAGGCATTCATGACCCACTGAATTCCCTCCCTCCCTGCCTCTCTCCTAACTAACTTCCTCCCTCCCTCCCTCCCCTTCCTTCCTGCCATCCACCCATCCATCCATCTTTGCTTCCTTCCTCTCTTCCTTCCTCCTTTTCTCCCTCCATCTACCCTCCTTCCCTCCCTCCCTCCCTCCCTTCCCTTCCTTCCTTCCATCCAGCCATCCATTCATCCAGCCATCCATCCATCTTTGCTTCCTTCCTTCCTCTCTTCCTTCCTCCCTTTCTCCCTTCCTTTTTTCCTTTCATCTATCTTTCCTCCCTTCCTTCCTTCCTTCCTTCCTTCCTTCCTTCCTTCCTTCCTTCCTTCCTTCCTTCCTTCCTTCCTTCCTTCCCTCCTGCCTTCCTTCCTTCTTCCCTCCCTCCCTTCCTTCCAGAAATTCACCAAGGGGATAAATCCACTAAACGCTTATGAAGCCTGTTATACCAAAGTCTTACCTTTCAGTTGTTTTGGCAGAGAGTAGAAGGAGCAAAGGTTAGACCTTTATCCTTTCAGAATTTTCGAAAATTCCACAGCTGATAGAATTTTTAATCCTATAAGCTAAACTGATTAAGATTTTCCTCGACCCTCTGCTACTTCCTGGTAATAGCTCTGACCCTCTAAAAGAAGTCTTCATCATTTCCTGCTGTAGTGAACTCACTTGTGGCTGAGAAAACTGCATTAGCCCTTTCAGGCCAAGGAGGCCTTCCTTTACAAATGGTGTTTCTTGGGAATTAGAAATACTGACAAAACTTTAATGCTACCTGTGCTGTAAACTTTAAAATGCCAGTTGCCTTCCTAACCATACCACTTCCTCAGTATCACAGAACAAAGACACTTCCCCATATATATTTAAGTCTTTCTCTGTCAAAATAAACAGGAAGCCTAGCTACTTACCCCTTGAAGTCATGGCAAAGTTTTGAATTCACAGTAAAGACATCAAGTCCTAAGTCATGAAAAAGGAGAGACCAACTTCATACTGAAATTCAAGAGACATGGTTACTTCAGGAGTCTACTTACAGATTTATGGCTTAAAATATATATTTATTTTCCTTCCACAAATAGCAATTTAACACTGTTTCAAAACTAGACAGTGGAGAATATTCCTGTGAAGCCCGTAATTCTGTTGGACATCGCAGGTGCCCCGGGAAACGAATGCAAGTCGGTAAGCATGAAATATCGGGAGGAACAATGGTTTGCAGTCAGAGCGCACATGTGCTTGGGGATGGGAAGGAGCAAGGGGTAGGACTGTGCCTGAGTGATTGGAAGAATAAACCAGAGGGAATGTTTAAAATTAGCTTGACATAATGTGTTGCAAAAAGCAAACATGCTGTTCTTAGTCCATGTCCCAAACAAGCCAAGAATATTTAGCACTCGACTTTTCAAGTTTTTGAATTTTTCAAATCATTGTTTTAAAAATATGCTTGTCTGGGCAATCTTCTTTCAAACAGAAACTAAGAGTCTTATAAATTGCTCAGGGTCAAGGATTTGGTATGGGGTTCAATTTCCAGCTCTGTCACTTACTAGCTACATATTCTTGGGCCAGTTATTTAACCTCAGTCTCCCCAAAATAGAAGTAGTAATATGCTATCTTCATTGGGTTATGGCTCAATCAGTAGAGCATGTGACTCAATCTCGGGAGTCGTGAGTTCAAGTCCCACGTTGGGAGTAGAGCTTACCTAACAAAAAGAAAAAATAATTAAAAAAAAAAAAAGAAAGAAAGACAAAACTGATATTTGGAAGGGTTAGAATAGCAATGGCATATTGTGAGCACTCTCAAGAGTTGGCTATTTTAGTGTTCGATAATTTTTTCAATCCCCTAAAATACAGTGCTTTACTTATCCCAGAGTGGGTTCTCAAAAAAGACATGTCGAATGTAGTTATGAATCTCTATTTGCTGTAAAACATAGCTGCCATGTATTTCACAAAATAAGCTTCCTAGAAATCAATAAAATCAGACTCAGGAATCTTTTCAGATTATAGGAGTTTCAGAGCAAACATGTTTTTTTTCATTTCGCTTTTATTTTTTAATTTTTTTTTTTAAGATTTTATTTATTTATTTGACAGAGAAAGACACAGCGAGAGAGGGAACACAAACGGGGAGTGGGAGAGGGAGAAGCAGACTCCCCGCCGAGCAGGGAGCCCGATGTGGGACTCGATCCCGGGACTCCAGGATCATGACCTGAGGCGAAGGCAGTCGCTTAACCAACTGAGCCACCCAGGCGCCCTCATTTCGTTTTTAATAATTTGGTTCAATTCTCCCTTTGTGAAAGTCCTGTGTTTTGAAAAAGGGTGTTTTGTAATAGGGCTAGCTGGAGATGACACCTGCGGGGTTAAAGATCACTCAGGAGGGCTGCACCCCGAAGTGGAACACCCATGGCCCCCCTTGGTTCAGGAGCTTGTCCTCATCTTTGTGAGGTCAGAAATTCATGTTTTCAGTGTGCTCAGAGATATGCAGATCTACGCACACTAATTTGTGTTGTTCATGTACAGTTAAACTCTTGGCATTACTTTTTAAGTAAAATATAATCTTATTAGACCTCAGAATGCTCTAAAGTATAAGATATTCAATAGTGTATTCTAATTTCCACAAGAGTCTTTTTAAAATTCAGGGATACATATTATCCACCCAATTCACTCAAGTGTTGATAGTTATAGTCAAACATAAGCGTTTGCTGAAAATATCAGAAGGTATCCCTCTTAGTGCTACTTTGGAGTTATCATTAGAAAAATTCATCAGAACATGTTTAAAATTAATGCATTGATACAGGGTTTTCCTAACTTCATTCATTCATTCACATACGACCCTCATGTTTTTTTACTGTAACCTTGTACCACCTGCACTATTTATTCTTTCTTTAAATGGTCCTGTTTAATTTCAATGCCTAATTTAGCCTCATCTCAAGAAATAATATCTGTGATGTCATGGTCTTAACATACTAGTTACATTTTTTCCAAGCATGCAGTAAATAAATACAGAACAGCTAAAATTTAATACTTTGTGCTTTGCTAGTCTTACCACTTTAATTTGATCACGATTTTCACGTATCTACTCTTTCTTGTATAAGTTGGCTTAAAAGTTAAAATTTGTTCATTTAATGCTCATCCATTGATCTTAGATGTTTCATGCCCTTGGGTTGAAATTTATATCTTTTGATACATAAGAATTCGTGAAATCACATGTCAAGTTTCCTTCGTGAGTTATCACTAATAACTTATAACCCAAACCAGAATCTGTTCTAAAAGACGCTCTTTTTGAAGTATAGAAAGAAAGTAAGTCATGGACCTGATGATTATTCCCAAGCTGCCCCCTGTAAAACTCGCAGGAGACCCCACTCACACTTAGCATTTTAACAGTTTGGTTCCTTTCCTTTCAGTTAGAATAATGATACCTTCCTTTTATAGTGGCCTTTTTTTTTTAAAGAAAAAAAATATTTTTGTACATGTTGTTACATTTTCTCTTTAGTGAGGCATAAGGCGGTTATAGAACTTGCTCAGTAACTCACAGTCAATGGCAAATAGCATGAAAACAACTCAGCTCTAACTTACAAGGCTTCTTCCATTTCACTGAGAAAAGTAAAATAAAATTTATACCATAACTTACAGGATAGGACAGTTTTTTTGTTAGAATCTGCCATTAGGTTGAATCCTTCATAGATGTCAAGTTCATTGACAAACTATGGGACAGATTTTTGTCCGATAATAGCCCTAAGATTGAAACCTTCACAGATGTCACATTTGTTGACTACTACAAAGAAAATAGTAGGTACAGTTTGGTTCTGTAGTTATTAACTTAATTTTGCCTTAGATTGTGATTATTTTAGATTTTTCCCTATTAATTTCATTTTGCCTTAGATTATGAATATTATGGAATTTATTTCCCTGTCCACTACTTTTTTAAGTAAATAAATAGCTGGATCTCAATGACCTCTCAATGCTTAAGCAAAAATGAACTGAATTTTTTGTTGTTGTTTGTTTGTTTGTTTTTAAGATTTTACTTTTAAGTAAAATCTATACCCAATGTGGGGCCTGAATTTACAACCTTGAGATCAAGAGTCACGTGCTCTACTGATTGAGCCAGCCAGGTGCCCCTAAAACTGAACTGAGTTTATGCCAAGCAATAATTAATGTTTTCTACTCTGGTCAAATTGCTCAGCCTTCCAAAAGAGGTATTCAGTTTTCTTTCTTAAAAAAATCAGTTAATATTTCAGATTTATGAGAAAATTAATAACCCTTGGCATTAGAAAAAAATTTTGAGACCAGAAAGTTTTATGATAAGCATACTCACTTAAATAATATTTCTTAAGAAAAAAATCTTTCCCAAAATGTGCAGTGCTTTTAGATATCTAAAATTATTGTTGAGAAAGTGCTACCTAATATTTTCTTCAAATTAATCACACGTTAATTAATACTTGCTTTTAAAAACAAGAACCCTTTTATTATGCTAAGCGAAATAAATCAATCAGAGAAAGACACATATCATATGATCTCACTAATATGAGGAATTTGAGAAACAAGACAGAGGATCATAGGGGAAAGGAGGGAAAAATGAAACAAGATGAAACCAGAGAGGGAGACAAACCATAAGAGACTCTTAATCTCAGAGGGTTGCTGGAGTAGTGGGGGGTGGGAGGGATGGGGTGGCTGGGTGATGGACATTGGGGAGGGTATGTGCTATGGTGAGCGCTGTGAATTGTGTAAGACTGATGAATCACAGACCTGTACCTCTGAAACAAATAATACATTGTATGTTAAAAAAAAAAAAAAAAGAGATAGTAGGAAGGGAAAAATGAAGGGGGAGAAATTAGAGGGAGAGATGAACCATGAGAGACTATGGACTCCGAGAAACAAAATGAGGGTTTTAGAGGGGAGAGGGGTGGGGGGATGGGTTAGGCCGGTGATGGGTATTAAAGAGGGCACGTTCTGCATGGAGCACTGGGTGTTACACACAAACAATGAATCATGGAACACTACATCAAAAACTAATGATGTAATGCATGGTGATTAACATAATATAATAAAATTAAATTAAAAAAAAAAACAAGAACCCTTTGAGGAATTGTTCCTTTAAAAAGTATAGGTAATTTATATATTAATCAATACATAGGAAGTATCCAAATGACAGAAGGGTGTGGCTCATGAAATCCTGAAGGACAAGCTGGAGAAATGTGACCCAGGTTAAATATTTAGATGGATGGATTCACACAGTTGGATCCCATACCCAGAGGGTGTAATAAATTCTATTATATGAAGGGAGGTACGTAATAGCCTGTTCCATAGTTCTTTCCCTAACAAAGTCATAGTCATCATTTTAATTAATGATTTGAATGAGGATATTTTTTGATGCTGTTCCCAATTACATAAATATTGATCTTGGAAGGTTCATAATCTAATTCTTGGACAACAGAATCAGTATCTGAGAAAACCTCGCAGGTTGGTAACATGGTAGTGATTTCAAACTTGGGTCCAAAAAATCCAGTTGTATTAGGTTAGAGGAAAGATGACCTAATAGCAACGGGAAAAAGTCTTGGGGAGTTTAGTTAATTTTAAACTTAATGGGATGACAGTTTAATGGCATATGTGTATGTGAGTGTGTATGTGTATATAAGTACACACACACAAGCCCAATTAAATTCAAGAAAGATGTTTCTGACTCTTACTTTATAGAACAAGAGTCACATGGCTTTCTTTGGGGCTGAATGAGTTTTCCGTTATCGGTAAAATTGACACAGATGATGGTGTAGAAGAATTTTGAGTAGAATTGGGGGTGTGTGGTAGTTGAATACTTGACCTCACTGAACTTTGAAGATCACTTCCAATCTGATATTTAATCCTTTGAAGTATTATCTCCCCAAGTGAATGCAAGGGAATGCCATACACGTTATTTCTGAATCATGGAACTTCTTTCAATTTAAGATTCTTGCAAAACTTAATTCCGTTAATATTTTCAATCTGCTTTGAACCTTGTCCTGGAATGAATCAGTTGAACAGGCTTCAGCAGCATGAAACTATCCATGTTTATGGTATAGCTGCCAAGGGGAGCTTATTTGAATTTTTTCAATTTAATAACTACATCTGTCCATTTATTTGACCCAAATTCATGCCTGGTTTATTTTGCCTTCCAGATGATCTCAATGTGAGTGGCATCATAGCGGCCGTGGTGGTTGTGGCCTCAGTGATTTCTGTTTGTGGCCTTGGCGTGTGCTATGCTCAGAGGAAAGGCTACTTTTCAAGTAAGTGAGTTTCACCCTTCTTCACTGGACAACCTCCTGTGGATATAGAGTTTTCTTACAAGACCTTGTTTCTCCTAATTAGCTCTAACAAACTCTCGAGAGTATTTTTCCTTGCTTTTTCTGCAGTAGAAAATGTCTCAAGTGACATGTAGGTGAGTTATGAAGCACCTTGGCAAACAGAGGGAGAAAAGGCAGAGCTTCCTCAAGTCAACATTCAGGAAACACCACAGACTATGGGAGAGGCACCGTGGGATGGCATAATGGGGTGATACTGACGGATAGTCAACGTACATGGAATTTATAATATATTGACATGTATTTAAGAGCCCTTTAAGTCAGGAATTATATATCTCAAGATGTAAATTGATTTCCAGTTTTATCATAAGTCCCATTGAAATAAATCAGTGGAATATTTTATCAGTGTAGAACAGTGGAATGTTGAATGTCAACTTTAGCACAACTGTATAGAGCATTGTTCAATAAAAACTAGAAACCAATAGTATTACAGTTGCTTCTGGACAAAGTTTTTAATTCTTTGAGTTTAGACCTCTTATAACTCCAAACCCCCATTTGATGATAAAATACGTTTGATATGAATGAGATGAAAAAATAATGATGTTTTATTCTCTTAATGTATTTCTTTACTCCCAGTCTTTAAAATTATCTGAGAGCTCAAAAGCTGCAGAACTCCATAGAGTCCATTGGGAATAGTGTACAAAGCAGAATGTTTTCATAGAATAGTAAATCAGTTTATAGCATAAGCAAGTTTTAGACCCATTGTTTTACAGTGAACATTAATTTTAGAATTTAGGTTTAAAAAAACATACTAACATAAAACTTAACCTATAAATAGATATTCACTGTCATGAAATGTTTCCATGGCATTGTTTCAAGAATATTCCCTATAATTAAGAATAGCTGCTCTGTGAATTAATAGCTCTTTTCTTTGATGCTCCAGTCTTAGTCTAGTGTAAATGTAACTTTATGAATGGAATCCAGCTGAGGCCCCCTGCTGGTCACTAGTGAAAGTACAGACAGATAAGATTACTTATGCAAAATTCTTGTCATCCTTATCTCTACTTGCAAAGAGTATCTGTCTTGAGTATTTTTATCGGAGACTTGGTAAGTACATTTTTCTTAAAATACTGAATTAATTAAAGATTTTACTTGGGTAATAGGAACTCATTAGTGAAGAATATTACTCCCATCCTCAGCTGGCAGAAAATCTATCCAAGGGGATCATTTTCTTGAACTTGATTTCAGACAGGAGTTGGCAAACTATGACCAGTGGACCAAATCCAGCCTGCCACCTGTTTTTCTGTGGCCCACAAGCTAAGAATGGCTTTTACAAATGAACATTTACAATCTGTTTGATAATAAGGAACACTAACTTTGAATCCCAGTTAAGAGAAATGTTATCCCCTGTCAACAAAAGAATTCTATTTTTCCAATTAATAGACCTATACTAAAGGCTTTGATTATTATTATTATATTTTGAATTTTATTAATAACAATTTTTGGAAACTTGGTCTCTCTTATTATATAAGTACCTACTTAATATCCTCAATTCTACCTCTTGGCCCACAAAGCCTAAATATTTGCCTTGTGGCTCTTTACAGAAAATAGTTTGCCAACCCTTGATTTAGAAAGTACAAATATCACCAAGAGAGAAACAAGACTGAGTAAAAGAAATTAAGCCTACACTTGCTTTTATATGAATATGTATCATACCATATTAACTCTTGCATTAATGATATACACTTATTCTTTTGTAGAAGAGACCTCGTTCCAGTAAGTATACTTTTCTTAAATGCATGCCTTTCCCCCACCTCACCTAATTTTCTGTTGATCATCTGTTTAAAGTCAAACATGGAAAGTTGGGTTATTTGTGAAGGTTTTATCCCTATGGGAAGTGACTCAGATTCATCAAGAAATACATCCCACTTCATGCCTCATGCTTACCTGTTAATGTTGTTTAATTACCTAGAGAAGACATATAGTCACTAATTTGACTCTGTAGGCACTTCCATAGTACTACTTTAAAAAATATATTTGCTGTATTTTGCTAAATTAAAAATTTTCGAATAAAATTTTACTGAACAGCCATTTTCACATTGAAATGAATACTTATTTTGTGCCCAACACTTCCTAGGGAGTGGTAGTACAGCAGTGAACAAAACGGGCCACCCAGCTCTCTGCCTCATGGAGCTTATATAGAGAAAGGTGGAAAGTAAAAACACTTAGGTAAACTCTACAGTATGTCAGACTGTAATAAGTATTGTGGAGAAAACTAAAGTGGGTAAGAGAATAGAGAATGCATAGGGTAGGAGTGGAGATCGTCCTTTAGGGTGGTTAGGTGGTTCATTCACAGTGATGTTTGAGAAGGACCTGAAGGAGCACAAAGAGCAAATTAGGCAGATACCCATGAGAAGAGCATTCAAGCAGAAGAGAAAGAACAGATGGAAAGGTCTAGAGGCCACGCACACCTGGAGTAAGTATCTGAGGCACGTTGAGGGGATTGGTGTGGCTGAAACTGAGTGAGGACAATGGAGAGAAGGGAAGAGTGCACAAAAGTAGTGGAGGCCAGATTACATGGAGCGCCTTCTAGGCAGTGGTGAGGAGTTTGACTTTGATTCTGAGTAAGATGGGAAGTCATTGGAAGGCTTTGAGTCAGGGAGTAATATCTTGTTACTTAATTCTTCGAAGCTCACATTCACTGCTCTGTTAAGAATCATCTATAAGGTAGCAAAGAGTGGAGGAAGCAGGGAGACCAGTTAGAAAACTACTCAATAATTATCCAGCCAAGAGAAAATGGTAGCTGGTTCCAAAGTGATGGTGTTGGAGATGTGAAGTGATAGGATTCTGGATACATTTTGAACAAGTTACTGATTGGTTGGATGTGGATGTGGGAGAAAAAGAGAAAAATCAAAGATAGCTCCACGGCTATGGGAAGAAAGATGTTACCAATTACTGAAATGTGTAAGACTTTGGGAGGAGCAGGTTTGGGAGCATTAGGTGGGAAGGTCTGGAATATTTGGGAATTTTAATATTTGAGATGCCAATTAGGCTTCCAAGTAGAGATAATTAGTAGATAACAAGATATATAAACGTGGAGTTTGGGGAAATAACTAGGATTAGCAATTTAGGAATCATTGATGTATGAGATCACCAAGTTTAGTAGATAACAAGATATATAAACGTGGAGTTTGGGGAAATAACTAGGATTAGCAATTTAGGAATCACTGGTGTATGAGATCACCAAGTTTATGTGCATGATTTGTGACTGTCCTTCCGGTGTACATGGAAATAGCAGACCCAATGTGGGGCAATGGGCATTCCTCTCTACTCTCAGCTGCCTTAGCTGCCATTGATTTCCTGTTCCTAGACTTCCTGCTCAACCCTGTTCACTGTGTCTAATCCTATCCCAGTACAAGTCCAAAATGAGCTCCAAGTTATCAGGACTAGCAGTAGCAAAGGGGGAGAGTTCAGAAAACAGGGCTGCCTGATGCTATAGCCATCCACATCCCACCCCAGGCAATTGTGAAGACTTCCACCTTTATTGAGGAAGATGGAAAGTAATTGGAGGGTTTTGAGCAGAAGAGAGCATCACTACCATGGGGAAGATTATTCTTTTCTTTAATCACATTGTCTCTTAGGTAGGTAGGAATCTGGGAGGCAGTATCTTTACTCCTAGACACATCTCCTGCCATTTGTCAAATCCATGGCCCTTAAAATTTGTTGGATAATGAATTGGATGTTATATTAATTTGCTAGGACTGTGGTCACAAAGTGCCACAGATGAGTAGCTTAAACAGAAATTCATTTTCTTACAGTTCTGGAGGCTGCAAGTCCAGATCAAGATGATAGCAGGGTTGGTTCCTTCTGAGGGCTGTGAGGGAAGATCTGTTCCAAGCCTCTCTCTGCTTGGCTTGTACATGATCTTCTCTCTGTCTTCACATTGTCTTCCCTGTGCCTGTGTCTGTCTCCACATTTACTCTTCCTATAAGGCCAGCAGTCATATTGGATTGGGGTCCACCTAATGACCTCATTTTAATTTAATTTAAAGACCTTATCTCCAAATATGGTCACATTTTGAGGTATTGGTAGTTGGAACTTTAGCATGAATTGTTGGGGAAGACACAGTTCAGCCTATAACAGACGATTAGAACCTCAGTTACCATGTAAAACTTTCTTTCCGTGGGGAAAAAAAAATGAATTTTGATTATAGTGTTCAAGTTTTCAAAGTGCTAAATGCTAAAAAGTTGCTAAGTTAAAAGCAAGTCTCTGTTTGCACATTCCAGAGAAATCTTTAGCCCCAGGCTACAATGAGATACGTAGGGCTTCACAGGCTGTTACTTTGTTATGTGGCTTTCTCTGTGGAATATTGTCTATAAATATAAGAAATTCAGTTAGGCTTGCTGGCATGTTTTAATATTGTCTTTTATATTCCACAAACAGGAAGAGTAGTTCTGCATCTAAAGCCACCACAATGAGTGAAAATGTGAGTATTTTTAAAGCACATTTATAGATCAGATGTGTTTAGGAAATAGGGCAGGGGAAATGAAATGATTGTACAGAAAGTGATGGATTTTCACTTTTAATACACTTTGTGCGAGGGTCTACGACTGGTCTTCAGAAGGAGGTGAGTGACTGTTAGCTTCCATCCTCTGTCTGGAATGGTATGATAAAGTTGCATTTGTAGAGCAATGGGGCTTTGCCTACCATTCTTTTTCTCATGGTGTTTGCTATCATTAGCTTCCTTAGCATCATTAGGTCTGGTGTTATCAGCTCCATTTCATAGATGAGAAAATTAAGACCCAAGTTCTCACAGGATCATAGTGGTGGGGCTGGATCCAGGCACCTGGATTCCTGTCAGCTTGCCCAAGCAGATGGCTTCCCCCAGATCTTTGATTCCAAGACTCTCCTTTGGTTATTCAGAGAACTTGGAAAGTTTAGGAATATGGAATATCCTCTGCTATTGCCGAAAGGAATATTTCAGAACTCCCTGAAGGGATACAATAATTATCCAATTCAGATGGTTTAGGCAACATAATTTGGACCCTTGTGTACTTTTGCATTTGTGAACTCTACAGTGAAGCAGTAAATACCATCGTTGCTCAGATTTTGTAGCTCTTTGGATGGATATTCAACCTTCTGGATTTTTTTTTTCAGGAATATGAGAGGTAAGGGAGGAAGGTTTCCAGTGTTTTGGGAGGTCTAAGCCCTTTCTTGAGAAATGGAACACTGGTTCTCTGACCTCCTTGGCACTCAGTGGCAAGGATTCTCTTAGATTTCCTATGTAAAGCTCGGGGGAGGCAGTGGACACTGATATTTTAAACACTTGAGTGACTCTAATGGACACTAAATTTAAGACCCATTTATTGTCCCATAGACTTTTTTTTTTCTGTCAAAATTTGATTTTTTTTAAATTGTCTACTCCAGAATCTCTCACAGAAGTCATTTGATTTTGTAGTTTACTGTACCACGATCGTATTAAATTCTTTCATTAGCAGATAAGCAATGTGTAACTCTGTCATATTTGTTCCTACAATTTATAGAAAACACTCCTTAAATGTGGAACAAAGTAATCTCATCCTTCCAAACAGTAGGAGACACTTTGTGGCTGAGTCAGAAGAGCAGAAACCTCTTATTTTTTCATTGTCTTCCTCTTGGTTGCCCTCATCCACTGAGAGGTCAAGCCTTCCATTCTGGTTTTGCCCTAGAGCACAATTTCTCAGTCCTGGCATTATTGACAATTTCTCATCATTCTTATGTTGTAATTTCCCTTTTGAATTCTTATATAATGAATTCTTACAATTTTGCATAGTTTCCTTTTGGGGGAGCTGTACCGTGCATGATAGGATGCTGAGCGGGAGCATACCCCAAGCAGATAAGATTTCTTCCACTCTAATTCCCACTCCGACTTCTTTACTCTTTAGGCAAAGTTTCAGAGAACTTGTCTCCTAGTATTTATTTAATTCCCCATAAAATAGATTTAGTTAACTATATGTTGGTTTTTACCTATCAATTCTCATAGCGCATGTAGCTTTATACTGATAAAATTTATATATTTCTTTAAATATGAATTAATACATTATACTTAAACTTGTTTTTTTCCCTTTTCCTAGGATTTCAAGCATACAAAATCCTTTATAATTTAAAAGAATTCCACCTTTGAGATACGCCAAAACCACAGTTGTTACACAAGTTATTAAAAGATTATAAAACTCTGCTTTGTCTTACATTTGCAAAGAGGTACATGAGGAGATGAATTTGGTATTTCGTGATAATTTTTATGATCGTTAAATTACTTGAAATTGTTATTTTAAACAAATAGTTCTGTCAGCACCTAAATAAAATCCAGTCTGGCTTTTTGCCTCTGGACTAAGTTAAAAGAATCACAAAACTTTGTAAGATTCTGGGGTTTATGAAATGTTAAATGTCCTAACTCCTAGAGAAACTTACTAAAATATATGATACTGATTGTGAAATTAATCCACAGAGCATGAAAATACAAACTGTGTGCACCCTCTGTGCAGGAGTCTGATTTAGAGGGTTCAGAAACTACTGATAGACGCTTAAGGAACCTCTAGTCTCATTTCTACCAGAATCCTCTTTTCTCCCCTAATACAATCCTTACTCCGCTGCTCATTTGTCACTAATCTATTCACAGAAGGGAGGTAGGAGGAGTGGGTCTTATTCCCAAGGATTTGCACTTTGTGTTTATTTTTATTTCTGGGGAACCAAAAGCAACATGAAGAAAAATACCTAATGACCAGAGCTCTCTCCCTTGGCATGTGTCATTGATTTTTTCCATTAAACATAATTTTGAGAGTCAAACACAAACCCAAGTGTCTTATTTCACTTGAGTTGTTTTTTGCTCTTTCCTTCCTCTAAGACCCCTTTGAAGAGGATCAGGGACCTTGATCTCAGAACTCATCACTGGACCCTCCACACATAACCTTGCAGATACCTTTCTCTGCATGTTGGTGACTTCATATTGATTTTCAAATGATTTTCTGTGCAAACCATGCAGTGAAATTCTGGGCTGGGCCGAGTGCCTTGCTGGCCAATCCTGCTTACTGCAGAGCCGGGGATGTAGAGAGGAGAAGGGGCTGTGCCCTACACCTGTGCCCTGCTTGATACATAGAAGACAGGAGAAACGCTGGCTGAAATGAAAAATCGGTCTCATCATCTGGTTTCTCCACTGATTAATTCTAACGGGGTCCAAGCTAGTGTTAGAGTGAAAATTCTAATGATCCGTGTAATAGTAAGAGCAACGAGACTGTTAAAAAAGCATAATCTTCTATAACTTAGTGTGATTATTCAATTCATGTAAAATATGGGTAATAAAATATGGATAGGGCATTTCTAGTTCTGGGCAAATCTGGATGAAAAGGTTACTCACGAACTTTGTCAACTTTGAACATGGTTAAGCTGCTTTTAAAGGAGTCCATTCTTTTTTCCCCTCGGACAAAGCAAGTCCCAGGATTTACTGGACAAACGGCTTAAGCACTAGCATGTACCTGGACACCACACCAGGTCCCTGGGAAGATGCCTATTGTCAGACTATACCTTGCGCCCCACTTGTCTGGGGCACTGGGTGCTTCTCACCAGACTCCTTCCAACATTTTCTATAAAGGGCCAGATACTACATATTTTAAGCCATACTGGCCTGTTACAACTACTCAACTCTGCCTTTGCATCACAAAAGCAGGCATAGACAATAATAAACAAATGGCATGCTTGTGTTCCAATAAAACTTTATTTATAAAAACAGCAGGCACAGACAGGATTTGGCTCCCATACATGGTTTCCCAACTCTGGTGGTGAAGCATGAGAAAAACACCTGTCTATAAACTTTTGCAAAAATTAAGCTAAATGATGCTCATGCTTTGATTTGCTCTGGTATGTGGAATGCTTTCTCCTTGCATTGCCAAGTGTCAAGAGTATATGTGAGTCTCAAAGTTGGCCCTTCACAGGGTGCCTTGGTGGCTCAGTTGGTTAAGTGTCCGACTCTTGATCTCAGCTCAAGTCTTGATCTCAGGGTTGTGAATTCGGGCCCTGCATTGGGTTCCTTGCTGGGCTTGGAGCCTACTTAAAGGAAAAAAAAGATGGCTCCCCAGGCATACGTACCATCACATAAGATCAATTTCTTCAATTTAAATGACACAAATCCATATTGTGGGGAAAAATACATAGTGCCTTAGCTTTACTAACAGATGAAAGCTTCTGATCCACTTGGCTAGAGGATTCATCTTATAAAGTATTAACATATAACACTTTCTTTGAGTTAAATATGTATTGTACATTATCTTAATATATTGTATGTAGCTAAGTAGAAATCACTGTGTGGAGAATGTCTTCTCCCACACAAAGGATATAATATAATATTGTGCTCAATATTATATCCACTTGTGTCTGGACTTGTGTTTTCCATTTGCTTTTGAGGGACTTGAATATTAACAATTGGTAAAACCCCATTATAATTCATAGAGCATTTTGATTTTATTTTCCTGCAGTGAAATTGTGTTGTATAAGGATTAGGGCTCTGAAATGTCTAAGACGAAGTTTTATTTTAATTATCATTGTTGCTTTTGTAACTAGATTTAATTTATTTTTAGTTGGAGGTTTAACCTAACTAAATGTGGAACAATTGTTTTTTTAGTACAACTTTGCAAAGAACTTCCTTCATCTCACGAGTGGTTTTGTTTGATTAAAGGCTACATTAATAAAAAAACTTGTTCAACTTTTTAGGCCCATTTAACTGGTGCAGGGCAAGAGTCACCCACCTATTGTTCAGCAAAACCCAGCAAACTACCCCCTCTTACCATCTGTAGCTACAAGGCTAGCTCTTTAGCTGCTTAAGATTAGAATCTCATCATCTTTATCTGGATGCCTGCCAGCCTCTCAAATGCTGACAAAAATGCTCTGCAAAGAAAAAGTCTAAACTATTTGAACATTTTATATATGTCCGGTGGGAGCAGATGGAGGGGAGGGTGTATACAATCTCATTCATCTCAACGGTATTATATATCATGAGGCACCTGGGTAGCTCAGTCAGTTAAGCACCTGACTCTTGATTTCAGCTCAGGTCATGATCTCAGGGGCGTGGAGCCTGCTCCAGATTCTCTCTCTCCCTCTCTCTTTCTCGCTTAAATAAATATATATTTTTTAAAAATAAAGCTGGTCATGTCATCATTAGCAGGCAAGGAATCTGAGACTCAGAGTCAGTCCACCAAGTTCATGGAGCTAAGTGAGGACTCACGGACCCAGGTCCATCTGATGCAGGATGTTCACACAAGGTGTTTTATTTAGCTCCTTTTAAATTTAAATTTACATTCCTTTTAAATTCTTAAGTTCTCCTCTTGTGCCACACCTTCCCTTCACCCTTAGTAACCTCTGGCAAGTGGACCCCTCCCTAGGCTCACAGCTCGTAACATTGTTCCGTCTTCCCTGTCCCCACAACCCAGGCTCAGTGCTGTGGGGGGCCGTTCTGTTCTCAGCCACTATCCCCTCACCACGGATGCCCAAATCTCTAATCTCAGTATTATTTTTTTTTAATATTGAAGCTAACCGTGATGAATACGTTTAAATTCTAGCACTCGTACCCTTCCTGTCTCTACATCTGCCCATCTTCTACCTCCCCTTATTCATCCACTCCACCCTGCACTGGCTCATTCCAGGATTGTCACTGCTGTCCTTTTCACCTCAGGCCTTTGTTACTATCTCAAGTTTTATCTTCTGGGACCTTCCTCCCTCAAATACTCTCTCTTCTTAGTCATGACTTCTAGAGCAAGGTCAGTCCCCTTCTCCCTTTTCTCCCTTCCCCTTGCTAAAAATCTTCCGCTTTTTCCCCTAAGGGCTAAATTCCTTAGCCCGGAGTTCAAGGCTTCCCCCGCCCCCTCACATACACGTCTCGTCCTATAGTCACAACCTACCTATCTAGCCAAATGTTCCACTGTTCTACTTTGGTTGCCTTATGCACCCGTCAAACTGAACAAGGGTCATTTTATTTCAAGAATGCAATGTTTTCCTCCCCTGGAATGCTGATTCTCCTGATCAAGAAAATTGGGAAAATCTATTTACTATTTGAGGGACAGCTCAAATTTCACCTCTATGAGGCTTTCCCTCATTCCTCCTGCTGGAAGAAGTTTCTTCTTTGAGTCTCCATAGCACTTGGCTGATTTTTTTTATGGCAATTACTGGTTTTTATTTCATAATACGCTATGCATGTATTAAACAGTATCTGATGTGTAGTTGGTATCTAATAAATGCTGAATGAATTTTTAAAAACCAAGAGCACTTGTGAAAGGGCAACTAATAAAATTTCTCCACAGATTTAGATTATTAATAAAGTATTACATTCTGCAATGTTATTATAATTCAGTTCATTTATTATGCAAAGTGACACAAATTATTGCTCCATGAATTAAAGCTGGACAGAAACTGTTTCCCTCTTCTCCCACTCCTTTGTTATTAGGCATCCATTTCCACACAGTTCTTAAAAAGATCTTAAGATACTTTTCCAACCTTCAAATTTTGTTAAAATTTAATTTTCCATCCTTTGTTTCTTGTTTCCAGTTTTCCATCCTAATTTTCCACCCTTTGTTCTATGAGAGTTTGGGACACTTTTAGGAGTAATAACTGGTCAGGAAATTCAAAGTAAAAGGTACATTTTTATTTGTTGATGATACTGTTTAAAAAGAGACAACATACTCTAGTGTCGTGCGCGTGAGCCTCGTAGGGCCGGGGAGGCACCAGCTGCCGCGCGGGGAGGAGGCCGAGGCCGCAGCTCGAGGGAGGCCCCGGCCCCTCTGCGCCTGTGTCTGGCAGAGCCGGTGGGAGACGAAGAGACAATCCTTCCCTGCCGCCCGGATAATCAAGAGTTTTGGCCAGACCTTTGAGCACACACCGAGAGAGTGAGGAGCCAGACAAAAAGCACAGACTATGGCGCTGAAACGGATTAATAAGGAACTTAGTGATCTGGCCCGTGACCCTCCAGCACAATGTTCTGCAGGTCCAGCTGGGGATGATATGTTTCATTGGCAAGCCACAATTATGGGACCTAATGACAGCCCATATCAAGGCGGTGTATTCTTTTTGACAATTCATTTTCCCACAGACTACCCCTTCAAACCATAAGGTTGCATTTACAACAAGAATTTATCATCCAAATATTAACAGTAATGGCAGCATTTGTCTTGATATTCTAAGATCACAATGGTCTCCTGCTTTAACTATTTCTGAAGTTCTTTTATCCATTTGTTCACTGCTATGTGATCCAAACCCAGATGACCCCCTAGAGCCAGAGATTGCATGGATCTATAAAACAGACAGAGATAAGTACAACAGAATATCTCGGGAATGGACTCAGAAGTATGCCATGTGATGCTACCTTAAAGTCAGAATAACCCGCATTACAGCTGGAATAAACTTTAAATCACTGTTCCTTTTTTGATTTTCTTATCCGGCTGTTCCCCTATCAGACCTCATCTTTTTTAATTTTATTTTTTGTTTACCTCCCTCCATTCATTCACATGCTCATCTGAGAAGACTTAAGTTCTTCCAGCTTTGGACAGTAACTGCTTTTAGAAACTGTAAAGTAGTTACAAGAGAACAGTTGCCCAAGATTCAGAATTTTTTTAAAAATGGAGCATGTGTATTATGTGGCCTATGTCTTCCCTCTAACTTGGTTATGAGACTAAAACCATTCCTCACTGCTCTAACATGCTGAAGAAATCATCTCAGGGGGAGGGAGATGGATGCTCAGTTGTCACATCAAAGGAAGCAGCATTATTCTAGCATCCAGTCTTTTTTTAAGGCTTCCACTATTAGAGATTTGAGGTTACATGATATACTTTATGCTCATAACTGATGTGGCTGGAGAATTGGTATTGAATTTATAGCATCAGCAGAACAGAAAATGTGACGTATTTTATGCATGTCAATAAAGGAATGACCTGTTCTTGTTCTACAGAGAATGGAAATTGGAAGTCAAACACCTTTTGTATTCCAAGATAGGGTCTCAAACATTTTGTAATTCTCATTTAAATTGTTAGGAGGCTTGGAGCTATTAGTTAATCTATCTTCCAATACACTGTTTAATATAGCACTGAATAAATGATGCAAGTTGTCAATGGATGAGTAATCAACTAATAGCTCTGCTAGTAATTGATATATTTTCCTTCAATAAAGTTGCATAAACCAAAAAAAAAAAAAAAGAGAGAGACAACATACTCTAAAATGGAGACATTTGTGCTAAGTCCAAATCATCAAACCAAAACTTTAATACCAAACTTTACAGTTTCAACCTCTCCCAGGAGTGGTATCTAAAACCAGTCAATCTGGAATTGCCTGGTCAGACTAGTGAGGTAACCTGCCCGATAGACCCCTCCAGTCCCCTAAAGGAAGGTGACCTTGCCACAGCCAATCCACTCTGCTTGTAACTTACTTGTCCCACCCCCTTCTGCGTATAAAAGTCATTTTGTATAGCTCTTCAGGGCACTTTTCTATTTTAGACTGGATGCTCCCTGATTCATAAATTGTCAAATAAAGCCACTAAGGTCTTTAAGATTTCCTCAGTTGAATTTCGTTTAACACTTTCTATTTACTCTTGTTTATGACCTTTAAAAATATGTTGTATTTTTATTTGCCCAAGTTTTTAAAAAAAGTACTAAGACATACTAGAGTATAAAAATGTCTTTATGCTTTCTACTAAGAAAATGCTCTCAAAATAAGTGAATAGTGTGTCAACAGAGGACCTGTTTAAGTTCTCTAAAATTGAGGGCGGATGGTTTTAAAAGTCCACCTCATGATGTTTTTAACGCTGAATGTGCTACCTCTTAAGTGCTTCCTAAAGGTGGTGTAAAAACTGAAGCTTCCTAAGATCTGTGGTTGGATTTCTCAAGCTGCCCTTGCCCATGTGACTTTTCATTCTCAAACTCAATTTCCTTCCAAATATTTAACTAGCAAAAATTATACTGAAGTTACTATAGGTCAAGAAAATGGTTTTTCTAAATTTTAGGATAACATATAGCCAAGAACATGAGAAAAAGTATTATACATAAAGATATGATACATTCATGTTAACAGAATGTTGATTGGGACATCTTCTGTTGCCCGAAGGCCAAAGATAAGTACATGTTCTAAGGTACAAATATCCCCTTTGATGTTCATGAAGATAATGGTGCTACCCTGAAATCATTACCCCAGTCCTCTCCCTTTTACCCTACCACACAAGCTGTTACAAAGTGTATATGGATGGATTGAGGGTGGGGAGGAATGGTGAGAGAGAGAATGAATTGTCCAAACTGTGAGACTAAATGAATTTGTCCAAGTTGTACATTCTATTACCTGACTCATCCCCCAAGGCAAGTACAGAGAATTTTAAAGAGAAATCACTTGCAAAAACTGAAGGTGGCTGCCAAGAAGGAAATAGCTATTTGAGCAGGGAGAAAGAGTTGGAAAAGATATGAAGAAAGACAGCAGGGGAGTGGTGAAGGACCTATTTTCCCATGATTTCTTAGGGCAAGGATATATGAATTTCTCATGGTCAAGTAGGCATCATTGAAAGTAGTGGGCCTTGAGGCTCTTGCCAGTGTCTTACTGAGATAAAACATCTGAAACAAGACTGTGCCACTGGGATGGGAACAGAGGGCAGTTGGGAAGAGATGAGTTGGAGTGGACCTCCCACTTCGGGTAATCTGTGCCATGGGAAGACCTCCTAGCCCACAGAGCCCCCCAAGAACTTATACACACAGCACCTAACCAGAGAGAGCCAGCATTTATGAGCCCCCACAGCAAGGGCAGCAAAGGAGAACTAGTAATCGCTAACACCAAAAAATCCTACACTGAATGGATTTAAGTAAGAATTGCCTGAAACAGAAGCCCTCTTTGCTTATTATTATTAAAGGTAACACTAGGTAAGTAACAGACATTATGTCCCTTTCCAGTTCTCTGTACTTTTCAACTCAGATTTCCTCTTCTTTTAAGAATGCTAGGCAGATTGGATTCAGGCCCACCCTAAAGACCTAATTTTTACTTAATCCCCTTTAGAAGTCCTATTCCCAAATACAACCACATCGTGAGGATCTGGGGCTTAGGATTTCCACAAATGAATTTTAGGGGAACACAATTCAACCTGTAATACCAGGCATGGGAGAAGAGCCATTTTCAACACTGAAGTCTAGAAGATTGAGGTCGTTTGTGACAAACATCTACGGTGTTAAGTTCAGGATAAGGAGTGCACTGGCCGACTGAAGTGGCGAAGAAAGGCTGGAGTTGCAGAGTTGCGCAGCCTCACCAGAAAGAGGAAGGGGATCTGAAGATAAGGGCTTTCACATCCAGCTGGAAAAAAAAGCACTTCCCGGCTCAGAAGTTAGTAATAAATGCCCTATGATGTAGGGCAGGGGAGTAGGGTACTTAACACAGTATTCTTGTAGTCAGTCACAAACAGAATCCTTATGTTTACAGAATGAATGAAGAGACTGCGATGTTACAGCAAACTCCAAATAGTTCCAAGACAGATTTTTAAAAAGTGTATGAGAGGGCGCCTGGGTGGCTCAGTCGGTTAAGCGACGGCCTTCGGCTCAGGTCGTGATCCTGGAGTCCTGGGATCGAGTCCCTCATCGGGCTCCCTGCTCGGCGAGGAGCCTGCTTCTCCCTCTGACCCTCCCCCCTCTCATGTACTCGCTCTCATTCTCGCTCTGTCAAATAAATAAATAAAAATCTTTAAAAAAAAAAAAGTATGAGAAAGTAGGTGTGAAATTATAAAAGGTAAAATTCAACTAAACTGAGTGGGGGAAGTGAGGGGAATACAAGGGAGGTGAAGCGTGTGCTGACAGGGGTCAGGCCCTTCTCTAGATGGGCATTGTACTGTGCACCCCAAGGCACCTCGCCTGCCACAGGTGGGTGTTGTTTTGGTGGAGGTTAGAAATAGGACCTGAGCAACTAGACTTCTTCAATTACCTTACCATAATCAAACATCAAATTGTTTCAATGTCTACAATTATTTAAATAGAAGTAGTTGAAATGAACTGTCATTGCTCGGCATCATTTCAAGAAACTGGGCCATTTCTTCCTACTGCTTTACCCCAATTCCAATTCTGCACATCTTACTAATTTAATCACAGCTATTATCATCAGGAAATGTTTATAGGTCTTTTGGAAAAGGTATTCCTAAGTGGGTCTGATTTCAGCTAGACTGGCACACCACAGGAAAAATCTATTCTTTTGAAATGAGCTAAACGAGCCATCTACAGTAACTGAAATTTTGATATGCCTGTTAGGCCACCTATCCGGTGCATGATTTGCTGGGTCTTCCATCACTTGGGCAAAACCACACCATACAGCTTCGTCTTTCAAAGGAGTTCCTTTATAGAACCCCCACCCCACTCTCAGCTTTCCTTCCTCTGTCTGTGGAGCACAGTACTAGCCTCTGATCATAAACTGCAAGGGAAGAGGAAGGCCCCCGGCTATTAGGATAAAAGCAGTTAGTATTTGAGGACATGGTAGTTAAAACACAATGGATGCTCCTGTGTATATTCAAACTTAACTCCAGTTTCCTGGAAAAGCTATGATAAAAGGTTTATAAGCCATTTCTTTATATTCTGGGAGCGGATGTAACATCCTTCTGCAGCAAACATTCCTTAGGTCAGGGTGGCTCTCCTCAGGCAGTAAGTCTCCACGACTACAAGGGTAGCCCTGCACAGAATAGAGTCTGGCGGGTTATGGGCAAGTTGTAGCCAATTTATCCAAGGTCTCCACCTGATTCACTGTAACTAAATGGGAGGATTTAAAAATGATGCCGAGACACAGAATTCAATACACTCAACTGCACACCCAACATCACCAAATAATTTATTTGGAATCAGAATTAAAAGAACACTTGACAGCTAAGAAATGTATGTTTATTCTGATACAGTTGTACAACTAGTCTAGGACAAATTACCAAATAAATTTTACATTCTTTCTTCAGGACTGGGGTTTTTCGATGACTTCAAATTTAGGATCTAAGAAAAGGAAAAAAAAAAAGGTTCAAGTTTAGCCATATTGCAATAAAATGCATTATCTAGAAGGCTTTAATATTTAACTCATCAATCCTCTGATTTTTTTTTAGTAAATACTGTTTTTAAACACCTACATGGAAACATAACAATTGCTAAAGATTTATTCAGCCCTTACTATAAACCAGGCTCCCTATTAACTGATTTCACATACATTATGTCATTTAATTCAACCACCACAAAGAAGATCTAATTCTCCCCAAAGATCAGGTGAGAAACAGTCACCAGTTAACTATCCAAGATCACACACTTCATAGGTGATCTTGTTAAGATTCAAGACCAGGGAGTTTGATTTCAGAACCTCACCGTTTAACCTGTTATATGATCTCCTATACCAATGGCAAACATTTATACCAGAGCTTCTCATGCAAATGTCACTGTCCTAATAAATTTACGTGTGATTGTCATTTAATTCTCTGAACAATCCAAGTAAGTATAAAGTAGAAATATGCTCAACTTAAAATAATCTCCCACAAGACTGAATCCATGATTAAAGACACTTACCTTCAAATTTGAAGTCCGGGAACGTATTCATGTCTGCTTTACCATACATTTGCTTAAGCTTAAAAAGCTCCCTCTCGAGGTCTTGCTGGTACTCTGGGCCAGTATCAACAGGTCCTCCAGAGGCCCTGTTGTGTAAACAAGCAGGTAAAAACTCATCTTGTGCACTAGTTTACAGAAACAAAATTACTTTTCACCATCAAGTTTCAATAGATCTTTTAAAAGTATTCACATGGGAAAAATACTCTTTCTGAAAAAAAGTATATCCATTTGAATTTCAACTCAAACTTTTTTTATGATGTTTCACATAAACAAGGCAACTTCAAACTTCTAACATGCAAGGTTTGGATTAATCAAGGATGTTTATTAAGTCAGAATCTCTTGAGGTCTAAGTTGCTGTAAGATATGATGGTTAAGTCCATGGGCTCTTGGAGTCAATGACTGCTTCTGCTTGAATGTCAGCTCTATAATGTATTAAAACTGCATAAACCGGAGCAAGGCATGAAGCGCTCTAAAATTTTAGTTTCCACACCTAAAACTAAAGGTCCTACCTAATGGTGGTGTTATGAGAATTAGAGAGATAATGCACATGTACTACTTAATGTGGGACCTGGCACAGAGTGAGATGACACAGTGGTCAATAAAAGTGTTATCTCTTTTTATTACCTGATTTAAATCAGCCATCACTAAATGGCTTCTAAAAGGTCTTAGCAAAAATTTCCTACCTCAGAGATTTTGCTATTTAGGAAAAAAAATAACATGTTTAGAAACATTTGTGCTATAAGAGTTACTGATAAACTTCAGGACGCCTGGGTGGCTCAGTTGGTTAAGCAACTGCTGTTGGCTCAGGTCATGATCCCGGAATCCCAGGATGGAGTCTTGCATCAGGCTCCCTGCTCAGCTGGGGGTCTGCTTCTCCTTCTGACCATCTCCCCTCTCATGCTTTCTCCCCCTCTCCCTCTCCCCCAAATAAATAAATAAAATCTTTTAAAAAAAAAGTTATTGATAAACTTCAAAGACAGTCTATCAAACAGCTAACTCAAGCTGAAGAGGACACACTTGCTGAGCTAATTGGGAAAAATTTCATCTTAAAAAGGTGGCATATGTGACAAATCATTCATTTGGGTCAGATTTTAATTTCATACATTGTAAGACTGAAAAAGCAAAGATATGGAGGTAATAAAGAACTAGCTATATGTAGAGAATATAAGCCATCTAGATGGAAGGGCCAGCAGGACCCAGGTCATGGGAGGTCTGCAATGTTAAGTCTGCGAGTTTGTATTTTATTTACTAGGGAATAAAATGACAACATTAGAGTTGTGCTTTGGTAAGATAAATATAGCATCACAGACAAGCAGTGGGGCCAATTAGATGTAACTAATTCTTTGCATAAATTCTGTTTGTCACGTTACTGCCCGCCTACCAATGAACAATAAACAACTTTATAAGTGAGAATTCCAGGAAGGGTAATAATATTTTCACATATGACTATGATAAAAGTATAGGGCCTTATGTTACAGAATTTACGCAAAAAAATACAGAGACAGCTCTAATTTAAGAACTTGTTAATGATGTTTGTTGTCATGGACCCAATTTTCTTCTAGATCAGCCCATGCAATAGAACCTTCTATAATGACAAACATGCTCTGTTATCTACACCGTCTCGTAAAGTAGCTACTAGCAAAATCTGGCTACTGAGCACTAGAAATGTGACTAAAGTGACTGAGGAACTGAATTTTTATTCATAATTAATTATAATTAATTAGATTTCAATAGTCACATGTGGATAATGGCTAATGAAACAGACAGTGCAGGTCTAGGTAGAGCCTTCAACCAGATACTTTAATGATGGTCTTCTAGCTTTGGGACCACAAGTTTAGAAACTGCTTTGAGAGGAGCCAGCCGGTCTCACCAATATACTGGTTACTGATAGATGATGGCTGTTTTAACTTTAATATGTACTCTTCTGATAAAGAGGCAAGATATCACCTACCTCCTCAACTGTCTCCCAGCCCATCTTACTACATCCCCAGAACTTAGCATGGTGACCAGAACAAAGTAGACACTCAAAGGATACTTGTTTATTTCACTTAAAACATACTAGGCCAATTTATTGAATCACTCAATTTTAATAACATCCTATGAAACAGTGCTGTTATTATCATCCTATGAATGAAGGTATAGAGGTTAAATAACCTGCCCAAGGTCACAGCACTAGTGAGTGTCAGAGCTGCATTCCAGGCCAGAATCCATGTGCAGAACATTTCTCCACACCATATGCACAAATGAATGAACTATAGGCTCCTTAGATTAAGAGTACACCTCAGAGACACCTGGCTGACTCTGGGTAGAGAATGCAACTCTTGAGGGTCCTGAGTTTGAGCCCCACGTTGGGTGTAAAGCTTACTTTGGAAAAAAGTAAGAGTACACCTCAGGATTGACTTATTGGACAGCTGAAGTACAAACAGCATCAATACTAAGACACTACAATACCTCTGGACAGGAGACACTCACATTCCCCAACCAGCCCTGCTCATCTCCTTACTGAACAGTGTGATTTTAGACAAATTCTAAACTTTTAGCCTTGCTTTTCTCAAATATAAAATGAGGATAAGATCTGTAAGATTGCTGTCAGAATTTCATTTTAATCCCTTTGCTCTCTCCCTCCTTAGTTTTGAGAAGGACAAAACCTTTTTGTTAGTTGCCCAGTCTCAAAGTCTCAGCGTTCTTTAACTGTTCCCTCTCCTCTGTCTCTCCACCAGATAACCAAGACCAGCTCTCAGTCTCTCAATGTCTTGACTGTCACTTTTATATTCCCACTGCTATAAAGTAAGATTCTCATCAACCAATGCTTGGATTATTACATTTTCCTACCCTGTCTGTCTTCCTTTTCTACTTATTCCAATCGTTCTGATACCGTGATTAAATTACCCTAATAGAGTAATCTTAATCTTGTTCCACCCCCACCATCCTGCTCAAAAACCTTTAATTCCTCATAAATTCCTATCATATAATGCCTGAATTGCCCATCTATAATCAAGGCCTCTCATAATCCCCTCATTTCAATCCCATTCCTGTTCTTACTGCTCCCTACACCCCTCATATACCCTACAGTCCTGGGAAACAACATGACACAATTTCCCAAATATACTTTGTGGTTTCAAGTTTTCATGCCTTAGCTCACATCGTTCTTTCCTCCTAAAAGAGATCCTCCTCCCTCTCCCATTTATCTGTCCGACTTTCACACCAATTGTTCACAACCTGGGGGAGACCCCTAGGTATGGGTATCTACGGATGGCCTCCCACGGGTTTGAGAACACTTTCAAGCTATACGTGAGCAAATCATGTGAGTGATTTATGTGAGGGAATTCTTCACTTTTTTTAAACTGAGAGGATAATCCATAGCTATCCATATTCTCAAAAGGGATAAAGGACCCCAAACAGTGCTTTCAAAGCCAAGATAAAACAATCGCTCTTGCAAGCTACCTTCCAAAATGCCTCCAGCTAGAAAGGAGCATTCCTTCCTGTGAACTCCCCAAACACTGACTCGTGTCACTACCTGAGCTCTAATCCATTTTACCTTATATATTACTTTATACATACCTACAAGCTTTCTACACTTATCAGATTTCAAGATTATGGAAATGCAATATGGCTTCTTTCTGTGGCCCACCACAGTTAATACCCAGTGCTTTGCACATGCTAGACAACTAAATAAAACAAAACACCGAACTGATGTATGTCACTTTTCCTAAGATTTGGGGGTTGAATTTCATGGCTTAGGTCATCATTTATCTCCAAAACTGTGTGGTTCTGCAATCATGTTTATCCCGGACTTGCTTTATGCCATTTCTGTGTCTTTTGTCCTTTGACCTTCCCAAAAATATGTAACTATGGAAATAGCATTAAAGAAAAAAAATGCTGTGGGAGCGCCTGGGTAGCTCAGTTGTTAAGTGTCTGCCTTCGGCTCGGGTCATGATCCCAGGGTCCTGGGATCGAGCCCCGCATCGGGTTCCCTGCTCGGCGGGAAGCCTACCTCTCCCTCTCCCACTCCCCCTGCTTGTGTTCCCTCTTTCATTGTGTCCCTGTCAAATAAATAAATAAAAAAATCTTTAAAAAAAAAAAAAAAAAGAAAGAAAGAAAGGAAAAGAAAAAATGCTGTGTTCATACATCCCCCCCCCCCCCAAATCATGATGTCATAGAAGGGCCACTAAATTGAGAGAATATTTTGATGTTTTTCCTCTGATTAGTTTTATGACTTTGGGCTAATTAATGTCTAAGGGACTTAGTTTTTTCAAATATAGTTCCTAAATGATTTCTAAGATCCCATGTGCTTCTAAGAACTGACTCCACTTTATAATAAATGATATTATAATAACGATATATCTGAAATGACAATAGATTTAATGGAATTCTCCCTTGGAACCCATATAAGGAAAATAAAATTTGGGACTTCAAATCAAGATTTTTATCTTCTTTTAGAGCACCTAATGAACCTCTATGCCAGGGATCAGCTCAGTGAAGATCTTAGACACTTTGAAATACCAAGTAATTTTTACCCCCATCTCAAAACTTACATACTTTGAATATTTACATTTACACCATGGCTGATTATCTACCCACTTACTGCCGCTTAGTTCTGTATTCTCTAATCTTGTCCACGAAGAGTTTCTGTACAGGATCAAGTTCCTTATTAAATGCCACTGCTGTAACACCGATGTTCCTCCTCAAATGAACTGAGACTGCAGACCGAATGAGAGAGGAGAACCTGAAGAGCCTCTGAAGAATCATGGTGATTCTGTTACTGAAAACAAGCACCAGAATGTTAATATACTTTAAAATACATGTGACTGTAAAACACTTCTAAATATATCACATAGTGGGAATCTAACTCCACTAACTGCTACAGAACTCAATCATAAATCATTCCAGAACTCACTGAATGCTAAGAACAGTCACCTGACCAGAGCTCCCTTCCCCTTACCACTCCCCACTGCCAAGTTTTTTGCTTCTTAACCAAAAGGCCCTGGGATCTAGGAGCAGTTAGGAACAAATCAGGCCTGTGCGCTGGGTTAAATGCAGAAAGAAAGCAAAAATCTGGGATGAGGTGTTTCTTCTCCATAAACTTAGTCTTGGACCACACGGCATAGTTGAGGTAGGGTGTTAGAAAACTGCCCATCCAAGGCAGAAAAGAACTCTGGCCCCCAAATTAACGTGCCAGTTTTCCCTGACCCCTCAAAAGGCCAAAAGGGAGCTGAGCAGAGACTGGAGATAAATCCTTGCCTCAGCCAGGATTGATAGCCTGGAAGTTTCTACTTCACAGGCCCCACAGCAGGGGAAACTGCTGTCTGTCACAACTGCAGGATTCCAGGCATTCAAGAATAGTGTAACAACCACATCTAAGTCCAAAAGAACCAGCCCAAGGGAGCCCACCAACAAGAGAATCAAGCAGTACAACCTAATCAATAAAACAGAATGAAAAATAAGGACTTAAAAGACCTCCAAGTCCTTAGACTTCCCAAAACTAAAATACATGATTTTCTAACTAAAACATTTCAGCAGATAAAACAGAAGACAATCTCAGCTGAGACCTCATTTAGTATTGTGAAAGATCAAATGCAACAAAAAATTCCAAATTACAACAAATACATGCAAACAAGAATTCCAAAAGAAAAGGAATAGATAAGGAAGCCATAATTAGAAGAAATTTCCCTCAGATTAAGAAAGATGCTGTCTATTTTTTTTTTTTTTTAAGATTTTATTTATTTTTTTGACAGAGAGAGACACAGTCAGAGAGGGAACACAAGCACGGGGAGTGGGAGAGGGAGAAGCAGGCTTCCCGCCGAGCAGGGAGCCCGATGCGGGGCTCGATCCCAGGACCCCGGGATCATGACCTGAGCCGAAGGCAGACGCTTAACCGACTGAGCCACTCAGGCGCCCCGATGCTGTCTATTAAACAGGGTTTACCCAACCCTATGTTGGATGGGAATAAAAGATTCACACCTATATAGCTTGGTAAAATTCCTGAAAGTGAAAACCTGTCACACTAACATGATTCCCATGGTGTTCCAAAATTACCTGTTAATAATAATCATTGTCATCCTGACACTGAACTTCTATTAAAGTGCTCAAAGTGTGGTCTGTGGACCAGCAGTGGTATACGAATTATTGCTGAAACTTTTATAGCAATTTGACATAGTAATATGTATTTGTTGAATAAATCAGTTTGTATTTGTGTGTCTTCACCCTACTGTCTTTCATCTAATTTTTCCAGTAACTCATTTTTATTGTTTTCTTCCAAAGTAGCTGCAAGGGTTGGGGGGAAAAATGGTCGTCTACCACTGAGAGTTTGAGAAGCACTAAGTGAGAAGACTGTAGAGTAGCACAGTGGTTCTTGAGTAGGGGTGGCAGTATCCCCCAAGAGATAGTTGACATTTTTGACATTTTGGTTGTCCTGACTTGTCCTGACTTGGATGTTACTTGCCTCTAGTGGGTAAAGGCCAGGAATATAGTAACAATCACAAAAATAATAACCGTCTTCCCACAAGAAAGAAAGATCGGGTCCAAAATGTCAATAGTGCTAGGTTGAGAAGCCCTGGACTCGCACATAAAAACCACCAAAAGAAGAGAACAAACTGAGGGTTGATGGAGGGAGGCTGGGTAGGGGGATGGGCTAGATGGGTGACAGTTATTAAGGAGGACACTTGTTATGATGAGTACTAGGTGTTGTCTGTAAGTGATGAAATCACTGAATTCTACTCCTGAAACCAATATTGCACTGTATGTTAACTAGAATTTAAATAAAAACTACCAAAAGAACTCCCATAATAAACAAAATATCCTTCACCTACCAGGATGAAAGCAAACTAACTGAAGAAATTAAAGAATTCACCATATATCACGCTTACACCTCATCAGAGAAAAATACTTGAGAAGACTCCAAGCAAACAACAAATAACCTTAAGGTGCTACTTACTAGCATTCCCATTTTACATACACAGAAACTAAGGCTTAGGGATTAAGTATGTGGTCCAAGGTTACACAGCAGAATCTGACTGGACACAGACCTATCTTAAAAAATTGTGCTACTCAAGGTATATTTTCCCTTCTGGAAACAAGGACATGCTAACAGTAATCAGTAAGGTCACCTAACATTTGTTCAGCCCGAAATACTTTGCAAAGCACTGACATATATATTCTCTCTTTGTACTATTAGAGTGATACTGTTAATTAGAGGTAAGTGTTCTTATCCCTCCTTCATAGATAATAAAACTATGTCTGAGGAAAGTTATTACACTGCCCATATTCCCACAATTAATTTGCTCTGACTCTTGCAAAAATTGTGTTATTCCTACTCGGTAAAATCCATTTTCATTTTTTCAATTTCTATCATCTACTTTTTTTTAAGTAAGCTCTACACCCATCGTGGGGCCTGAATCCACCACCAGGAGATGAAGAGTTGCATGCTCAACCCTGAGCCAGCCAGGCACCCCTCCGTCATCATCTAAGTATTAATGATTTCCAAATCACGTCTCTAATTTTGGCCTTTTTCCTGAACCCCAAACCCATACAACCAACAGGTCTCTTCCCTTAGTAAGTCCTCAAATTCAACTTGTCTAAAAAATGAACACATAATCTCGGGCGCCTGGGTGGCTCAGTCGGTTAAGCGACTGCCTTCGGCTCAGGTCATGATCCTGGAGTCCCTGGATCGAGTCCCGCATCGGGCTCCCTGCTCGGCGGGGAGTCTGCTTCTCCCTCTGACCCTCCCCTCTCATGCTCTCTCTCTCTCTCTCATTCTCTCTCAAATAAATAAATAAAATCTTTAAAAAAAAAATGAACACATAATCTCACTATCAAAACTTGTTCCTTCTCTTTTACTCCCTTTTGTTTTTTCACTGATTAACACAGGAGTGTCCACTATCAGTCCACTGTCACGCAGGAGATACGTTATTACACAACGAGGTGTAAAATACCAAGTGCGGAAAGTTCTCTAATCAAGTACTACCGGGTGCTACGAGGAGGCCACAGCAAGAAAGGGTACACTTGCGCAGAGAACCTGTGTTGAGAGGGTGGACGGTTCTCCAGTTTACAGAGATGACTGACCAGCCACAGATTAGTCCTTTCGCCGCCTCTTCCAACCCGCCTAAACCGACCCGTTCTCTTCCTCCCTCCTGGAAACCCTGGTGTGCCCCGCCTGCGAACTTTGACCTCACCCCTAGTTCAAGCACTCCCCTGGCCCCCAGTCAACACCTCGTTTCTTGGCGTCGAGGTGTAGGATTGTTCTGCAAAATGAGAGTGGAAGACAAAGCTGCACTATCAGTATTTTTAGGTGGAATGCAAACTTGTAAGATTACTATCACCTAGTTCCCTCATTCTGCCTTAAATAGTTGGGCACATCTCCCGTGCGCCCTGATAGGGCAGGCCTGGCTGCAGACCCGCCCGAAGGGAATGACCTTGGGCTAACCCCAGCTGGGCCGCGGGCCCCAGAATCCCTGGCCTCCCTGCCTCCCGTGCCACCCGTTTGCCCTCAGAGCAGGTATTACCAGGCCTGAATACCGAGTCCACCGCAAACTTCAAGGCCTAAAAGCGGCGAGGTCAACAGTGACCCTGGGCCAGGCGGTGAAGGTGCCCGGGACAGCGGGCTGCTCTATTCTCCTGAAGGACAGAGGTACTAGGCAGCCCAGGCGCCATAAGAAACCCGGAATCTTAAGTCCCCAAAGGCCAAGCTAGTCTACCTACCCTCCCAGTCACCTTGCACTCAGTCCCGGGCTGCCACAGCCTCCGCGGCCGCCACCGTTCCACTTCCGGCCCTGGCTCCGCCCCCACCCGCCCGCCCGCCATCGCAATGCATTATGGGCCGCCGTTTCAGTCGGTCGACACTCACCGGACAGGAAACGTCTCGGAGGCGGTCTGCGACCGGACGGCTCTAGGTGAGACAGAAGCTAAACAGGAGGAGGAAGTAGAGGGTAAGTGCTTCCGGGTCCCTTGGCGAAGCCTCCGCCATCTTTCCTTCGCCTAACTTGACCTGCTGCTGTCTTTTTAGCTCCTGGAATCTTTCATGTGTACGCATGCGCACTTTGACTGGCCTTTTCCCTAGTTCAATCCTCCCGGACCCAAGTCAGCATCCTGTTCTTTGGGGTTGTTGACGAGTATGATTATGCCCGGAAAGTCAGAGTGTAAAACAAAGCCGGATTGGGGCGTTGGGCTCCCGTGTGCCTCGTGAGCCTCCGTTTCCTCGGGCGTTCGTTTCGCGCAACCTGCTGGGAGTTGTAGTCCCGGACCCGGGGGTGCCTGGGAGGCGGGAGGGGGGGTTGGAGTTTCTCAGCGCCGATTCCGCGGGAAGGGCCCAGGGGCCTCACACTTCGAATCGCGGGAGCTGCGGGTCTTACTGGGAGAGACGCTGCACGTGGAGCCCGCGCCCCTGCTGTTCTCAGCCGGCTCTGGAGCGCGGGTGGGGGCCACGGGGCCGATTCCGGAGCGGGTGAGTGCGGCCGCGGGGGAGGAAGGGAGCGCGGGCCCGCGCGGGCCGGCCTCGTTCCGGGGCCTTCTCACCCACAGCGGCCCCCCCGCGGCCGCCTCTGTGTTTTGTTTCCGCTGGTCCCCGGCGCTGTGACTCCCATTTCCGTTCGTGGAGACTTGAGGGAGCCGGGTGGGGAGGGGCGGGTGAGGCAGTGCGGGGAGCGGAGGGGAGGGGCGCGCGGCGCGGGGCCCTGGGAAGCCGCGCGCCCCCGGGCCCCGGGCCGCCCGTGTCACCCTTCGCTTCTCCCTTCCTTTGCTGTCCCCTCCTCGCCTGTCCGCCGTCCGCGGCGGTCTGCAGTCGCCGCGGTCGGGATGAGATCCTGACGCCCCCGGGATTTCAGGGGAATGTGCAAAACCAGTCTCCTCGCCAGCTCAGCGTTGCGCTCTCGCTTCATCTCAGTCTTTCTAGAACTGCCCCACAGTTGCATCAAAGCCATTTATTAATGTATATGGTGTCAGTAGGAGTTTATTTTAGAAACGAGGAAGTAAGAGAAGGGGAAAACGATGGGTTAATGTAGCTTGCCAACATTTTTAGTATTTTGTGTACTGGAAGATAAGTCGTTTGTGCGTGTTTGCAGTGTATTTAGTGATCCTACTTTGATTAGGTTAATAGCAAGGAGAACAGTGCCTGATACTGCCTTGCAAGATGATGAGTAGTGATTTAGAAATAGTGTCCACTTCATAAATAGTTTTCCACTAACGAATTCTACTAGCAGGAATTCCAGGTCTGACTCATGGGAGGAGCAAAGATTTAGAAAGGTTTCCAGCAGCAAAGAGCTGGGCAGGGATAACATTCCTAGGTACTGCGTTGTCTTAAGCTTAAGAAGAAATTGGTCAGCTCTTTAGGAGCAACGTTAGGGGAATAACCTGTCTGTCTCGGAGTTTTGATCCAGGTTTTCCAAGCTTTTTTTTTTTTTTTTTTTTAAGACATATTCTGACACTAGGTGGACACAGGCATTTTTACCTGAATTGCATATATGCGTGCAATGAAGGATATATAGTGTTGAAGTAACAAAATAAGGAGCTAAATGTTAAATTGAGGTGAGTTATGAGACCATGGGGAGGCTGGATACTAAATTAAAACTGTTGTGTTAAATCTCTCTCCAACTTTTATTTATAAAACTTCAAATCCACATGGAAAAAAAATTATATGGTGATAATTCCCGGAGCGGGGGTGGGGCAGGTGGTCACCAAGTGTTAATCTTTCTCCACACTTGCTTTCTCACTCTATCTACACACACAGGTATATGTGCTTTATTTTTTCTTAACTGTTGATTTTATTTTTAAAAACAAAAATGTACTTTAATTTCTTGTGATATTTAAAAGTATTTGTTATCTTGGGAAAATGTGCTGTCAGTCTTGCAGGTACTCCCATACTATACTTATGTTTAGGAATCCTGTATTGTCCTTCATTGGGCAAAGTTGTCCTAACTTCTGTAAACTAATAATGCATTCCAGTGAAGAAATACAATCCTCAAATTTGTCTGTGGCTGCAAAAGAGAATGTTACAAACATAACTGTATTTTAAAGAAAACTAGCCTTTCTAGGAATTTTTAGTTAATTTGTATGCATTTTGTGAAGTGTTGTGAACCTCAGGTTAGATTTAATCTAGGAGAAACCAGGGCATCAGGGGGCAGCCCTTAGGTGAAGAGGCTCCATTTTCTTAGGTATTGACATAGAATTCTGGAAAGTTGGTTCCAGAAAAAAAGCTAAAACCCACTCTGATATCAAAGATTTGGATTTTGGATAATTTCCCAAACCTCTCCACTGCTTCTGTAGACTAGATTTAGAGTGAGAAAGATGAATTTAGAGACCATGAGTAACGTGATTTTTCCCAAAAGTATGTACGGCTCATATTTTGCTTTATTGGGCACCTTGTGGGCAACTAATCTGTAACTTTTTTTGGAAGATCACAGGATAAATTTCTTTTAAACAACTTCATGTTTTAGTGCTTGTATTAAGTCCAGTTACGGTTATCCCTGCTGAGAAGCCTATAGGGCCATTTCTCAGCTCCTGGTTACTTCCTCATTTCTATTTTTCCATAGTTCCCAGAAATTTCACTTGTTTCCTGATTTTTCTTTTTTTAAATTGGCTATGGAGGGGCGCCTGGCTGGCTCAGTTGGTAAAGCGTGCGACTCTTGATCTGAGGGTCATGAGTTCAAGCCCCAGGTTGGGCTTGGAGCTTACTTAGTTAAAAAATAATAAGTAAATAATGGAGGCAAGAGTGGATGATGAGTGTAAGGCCTGAAAATAAAACATAAGTGATATTTCTTTTTCTTAAAGATTTGTTTATTTATTTTAGAGAACGAGCGGGGTGGGGGGGGCAGTCAGGCAGAAGGAGTGAGAGAATCCAGACTCTTCACTGAGCTAGAGCCCGCTGTGAGGCTCCATGCCAGGACCCTGAGATCATGACCTGAGCGGAAACCAACAGTTGGCCACCCAACCAACTGAGCCACCCAGATTCCCCATAAGTAATCTTTTTAAGTGTTGTTCTGCTCTAAACCTTATTCTGTTTCTCCCTTTTCTTATAGGGAATAATTTTTATGACTGTGTGTGTATACATTATTTTTTTGTTTCTACGGGCTAATAAAGTTTCCTAGCATGTGCTGCTTTCTTACCGTGGAACTCATACTGGTTTCATCTTCCAGCTATCACCAACAAAGCTGTCCTGAACATCCTATTATCATTCAGTGCGAAAATATCTGTAATGCTTATCTAAGGGCAATATTGCTGGGTCATAAATACAGGCATACTTGAGCAAGTGCTGCTAGATTTTTTTTCCGAAATAGCCGCACCCCTGTCTGTACCCCATCACTAGCGGCAGAGGATTTTTACATCCTCACATCCCTACTATTCTGTAGTCAAATTTCTAATTTTTTCTATACACACATCAACACACACGGTATAGAGTTATAGTTATTTGTTTTAAATTGCATTTTGGGGGGTGATTTGAATTTGAGCATTTCTTCATATCCTTGGCTGTTTTGCTTTTCTATCATGTGAATTTCCTTTTCCTATGCTTTACTTTTGTAATATGTCCTGACTTTTTTGAGGTTATCAACTTGCAGGAATTTATTGTCTAATATTCTAGTTATTATTCCCTTGTCACTTTTGAATATTGGAAATATATTTTTCCACTCTGTAGCCTGTCTATTGAACATAGATCTTAATTTTTATGTAATGAAATCCATCAGTTTTTGTCCTTGGAGCTTATATGTTTGGAATTTTGTTCAAGAAATCCTTTTCTATCCTTAGACTGCGAAAAAATTCCCCACCATTTTCTTCTATTAGCTTTATAGTTTTACCTTTCATGCTTAAGCCTTGAAGGCATCTGGAGCCAATTTTATCTGATGTGTGATAGCACTTACAGCTTTTATTTTTTCAACACATATTAATGGGATTCCAACTAAGGTAAGGCACCATTTTAAGTACTTTGTATACATCTATAAACAAATACCCTTAAGTTGTCCTGTAAGGTAGGCCCCTACTGGGTCATAAGTTGTTTTGCAGTAGTTCTCAGTATGAATTCCACAATTTTATACATAGCATCAGTTAAGGGGTAGGCTTTACTGGGGAAAGGGAAGATTTAAATAGTCCAAAGTCAACAAGAAAAGTCCTTAATCCTTTCATCATCCAAAATAAAAGTCTGCTGGGGCCTAGGCAGTCTGCTGCGTGTGCATGTTGTGTATCCACCCCCATCCCCTTACTGTTCTTCCTTTTTATAGGGCAGGTGTGAGAGCAACCTTGATAATGTGGGGGAAATCTGACCATTTTATACCAGACAGTCTAGATTTAGGTGCCAGCTGTTTAGAGACTAACTTGTCAGAAAACCTGCTCCTCAGCTGCTGGACACTGTGGGACCTAAGGAGAGTTACAGCCCTTCTAAAGTGGGAAAGAAGATAGTTTTCTAGTACTACTGTGTGACAAATTACTATACATTTAGTGGCTTAAATATACCATCAATTAATTATATACAGTTCTGGAAATCAAGTGTGAAATAGGTCTTTCTGGCCTAAAATCAGATATTAGCAGAACTGTGTTTCTTCTAGAGGTTCTAGGAAAGAATTTGTTCCTTTTTTCAGCTTCTAGAGGTTGCCTGTGTTCTTGGCTTGTGGCTCCTTCCCTCCATCTTCAAAGCCAGTCACAGCCAGTTAAATCTTTCTAGCTTTGAATCACTCTGGATCTCTTCAGATTCCCTCTTCCATTTTTAAGGACTCTTGTGATTTTTGTTGGATCCAGCTAGATAACCCTGGATAATCTCTATTTTAAGATCGGCTGGTTAGTAACCCTAATTGCCCTCTGCCATGTAACTTCATATATTCACAAGTTTTGGGTTATTGTGCCTTCCAGAGAGTTTGGTCCCTAGAGAAATTGAGACCTGGCAAAACTCCTCCTATTTCAGGAAGCTGGCAAAGTCCGTAATCTAGACAAAACAATTTTAAGTTCCTGAAGTCACTCTTGGACAATTTGGGTCTTTGTGCTTTGATGATAATAGAACAGAGGAAAAAAGATAATGAATGCAGAAATTAATGATAAAGTATGTTAGAGGGACAGGTGCTGTGGACAAGAAGAAAGAGTAAACGGGTAAAGAGGAGGCTGATTACAGAATTAAATGGGGTGGTCAGGGTATATATACCTCACTGGGAAAAGGAGATTTGAGTAGACATCAAAGAGGTGAGGGATTTAGCCAGGAGGACAGCTGAGGGAAGTAGGTGCCAGGCAGACCCATCAGCAAGACCAAAGGCTTGGCAGGAAGATGCAAGGACTAGCAAGGAGGCTGGTGTAGGAGTGGAAGTCAGGGCAGTAATGGGTTGGGGGATAGATCTCTTAGGGCCTTGCTGGCCACTGTGAAGTCTTTAGATATTACTGTGACTGATAATAATCAAAAGAGCACTATGCTGTAACTTCAGTTTTCAAAAGGATCACACTGGCTGTTCTATTGACTGAGAATGGACTGTAGTGGGGACAGAGGCACAGAAATAGGAAAACCTGTTAGCGGAGGCTGTGGCAGTATTCCAGGTTAGAGACAGTGGTGGTTCTTGCAATATAGAGCCTATCTTTGAACAAACCACAGTTCAGCCTCACCTAGAATGATGTGTAGTTAGGTTGTTGCACCTAAGGTATGACATGGAGCCAAATGCAGCTGAGCCTCACTAGCCTCTGGAGAGTTTTCCTATGAGGGTAGACTCAAGATTGTTCTGTTGTAAAGATTATAAAGCATTTAAATGCTTGTGCCTGGTGCTCAGGAAATAGTGATTATTATTATTAGGAATGAATATTGGAAGTCTTCATTTTGTCAAATCTTGTAAGTGGGAGACTCCTTTGCAAATAATAGAATACCAGATATAAGTCAAAGAGTCAGAGGCACTTAAAAAACTCTACTCTGGACTGAGACAATATATGGAGTCTAAAGACAAATTCATTGACCAACAACGAGAAGGAACAACCTGGAACTTAACAGCATTAATACCTCAGAAATGGCCACAAAGAAATACCAATATACACAGCTGTTTTTTGCATTACTTAGTATTTTAAAAATTGTAATGATTTTGTATCAATGGTAGTTTAAAGCAGCAGGTAATTTTACATGAGAGAATCAAAAACTGAAATTACTGGTTTAAAATATATAAAACTACATCTAAAAAAAAAATTCTAATGTGTAATCAGGGCAATAATAAGCATATCTATAATTTGTTACTTTATTTTGCTGTTTTAAAATATTGTGCTGCCTTTATAAGATGTAATTTGTAACAAATACTAGCTCTGATTAACTTTATGTCACTTTATTATTACAATGCTTTGCAGTAAATTTTGCTACTAAAATACACCTTTTAGCTGAACAACTATAATTCATCTCCGTGTTAATTTTTAAGGTGCAGGTTTGAATTCATTATTAAGACTGAGTTGCTGTAAAGAATTGACATACCTTTCACTTGATTTTGAAGTAACTCATTGACTTAGAATTTGGGCCAGAAAATATCCCAGTAAATACAATGAAATGATGAAAAAGTCATGTTAGGTTAATGTAAATATCATTTGTGGATTTTCTTTTATATGTAAGATTACTTCCTCTTCTGCTTACCTAACTCTGATTTTATTTAAATTGGATTTCTGCTTTTTGTATAGCATTTCTGTCTGTTCAGATAATTTCAGAATGTCCTAAGTTTTAACTCTTGCAGGACTGAGTTTTTGAAATACTCCAACCATGACTAAAAGAGAAGCAGAGGAGCTGATAGAAATTGAGATTGATGGGACAGAGAAACCAGAGTGCACAGAAGAAAGGTTGGTTTTTTTTCTGCATTTACCACTTTTTATAATTATCAGCATAACTACTTAAAATTAAGAATCAAGTCATAGTTTTGGGGAGACTTTTTTTTTTCCAACTGACCTCAGCATTTTGTGGGATAATGTATTGCTTTTTTACCTTTGACTTAATTGCTTTGTAGCTGGGAGGGAAAGACCGTTTTAAAGTAAAGGTAGTAATAAATATAGCTGATAATGATGAAGCAATTGATTGTGATGGTTCCTTCCACTAGGGCACGGTTTGATTCTTTTTCCTTTCCTCAGTGCTGGTTACTTTTATTTCAGAAAGAGTTTAATTCACAAACTGAAATAACTTAACAAATATCTATAAGTAACTGCTATAAAATAGTAGCTGTCAGGAATATATGAATAAATGAGACAGTAACCTGCTCTTACAGAGGCCACATTGTATTTGAGGAGGCATACAGGTATATGGATAATTACGTGCACAGTACCAAGTATATAGTGCAGTGAAAGGTGTTAGTTTTGGGGATAGTAATGGACTATTACTCCATTAAAGAGGTAGAGCGGTGGTAATGAGTTCAGAATCCAGGGACACAGTCTGGGTAAAAGATTTGAGAGTCAAGAAGAAGCTTGAGGAAGATGATGGCTAGTGGTCCTTATGTTTCTCTATAAAGCAGGAGATGAGACAATATGTTGAAAGTAAAAGGAACTAAAGAATAATAGAGAACTTCTGTGGAATAAATGAAGGTTTAGAACAACTCTGTTGAATGGACAAAATCACTAAGGTTGCCAGGGATGCTGAGTGTTGAGAGTCGAGCTGAGATTTAAAACCTTAAATTTTTAATAGAACTTTTCAACATGTTTGAGTATGCTCTTTTCTCCTCTCAATTATCAGATACATATATGTATGTGTGCATGTGTGTTTATACATACATATGTGGATATATTTATTTTTATGTATACACAAATGGCCCACATATCCTAAAGTGTTTACTGTTTGGCCCTTTACAGAAAATCTTTGCAGATGCCTCATGTAAGAAATTGATAGTTACTATGTTAACCTGGGGAGTAGCCGTAAAAGAGCATTTGCTGCTATGAAGCTGCACTACATAGTTGTTGTGCAGGAATTTAGGTCCAGTGATGTGAGATCATCCAGTTTTTCGGGAGAAATTCAGATTTTTGCATGAAGTTTCCCAGGGTTTAAATGGTGACAGCACAGTATTTAAACATTTTTTAAATCTTGAGCTCACATAAAATAGGTCTTTACCAATCTAAAGGTGACATTTCTTTTAAAGAATGATTGTTACAGAAAAAGAAAATTACAGCCTATTTTACTGTCACTAAAGAATTTGGTAGAAATACTTAGCCAAAAGACCCAATTAATTTACCTTAACAAAAATAATAGTAATAATAGTTTACTATCATTTAAAAATAATCTTTGTTTTAATGAATGGTCTACTATAAACTTTTAAAGTATTAGAAGAAATTTAGGCTATATACATTTATTGAATATGATGCATATATCGCATTATACTTGGAATTTATGTGAAAATGGAACTTGACAAATTTTTAAATACATGATGCTGTCTTTGACAACTACAAATGAGAATTAAATCATATTAAAAGTAAACATTGTGTGAAACTTAATTGAATTCCATATTCACCGATTTATAGATACTTGATGTCTGTTTTCTCTTTGACTTCATATAAGGATTTGAAAAAAAGAATTATTTGCCAAAGATTTTACCCTCAAGGCACTCATGATTTCATAGAATTCAAAGTATGAAATAACAATATAAAAGAACTTCAGAGTTTTAAAGCAGGAATGTATTTTTTTTAATGTGGACTTATACTGATTATAACCAGTAGATCTCATATTAAATTAAATGGAAAGTATTTTATATAACTTATATTTTCATGCCTTATTATGTACATTTATTTATGTTGGGAAAGGAAATTGACTAGTAGAGATGGCATACAAATTTTGAGGGGACTTTTATTTTCCATTCTAAAATTTTTCAAAATAAGTTGAAAATGTAGTATTTTTGTTTCCCTGTAAATATTGTATATGCAATATTTATATGTATATATATATACACTTAGCTACATATATATATATATCTAAGGAGATTTGTTTGCAGGGGTGCTTTAAATTTCATGCTAGCATTTCTCTGCAATTTAGTATTCAGTTTGGCAACACTAGTTGGTGATAAGCCTACCACTATGAATAGTGTCTATGCAGAAATGAGTTTCAAAAACCAGACTTTAATATCCAGGGTAGAAATATTTGTTAACCATTATATCCTTTAACTTTATCAGTATTGTAGAACAAGCCTACACCCCAGCTGAATGTGTAAGCCAGGCTATAGACATCAATGAGCCGATAGGCAATTTAAAGAAACTACTAGAACCAAGACTACAGTGTTCTTTGGATGCTCATGAAATTTGCCTGCAAGATATCCAGGTAATTTTTTTTCTTTTGAGATTTATATTTCAGCATTTAAGTCTGCATTGGAATTTTTTTTTTTAAAGATTTTATTTTTAAGTAATCTCTACACCTGATGTGGGGCTGGAACTTACGACCCCCAGGGCAAGAGTCACATGCTCGACCAGCTGAGCCAGCCAGGCACCCAGAAATATTTTTTTGTTAGCCTTTTATCTCTATAGCTGTAGTCTTTATAACTAAATTTGACCTGTATTACAAAATTTAAGCATTTAAAAATAAAAGTTCTTCCAGCAAAATTCCCTCCATTTAAAATTGTATCTAAAAGATTGAGTACTAGCGGCAGCTGGGTGGCTCAGTGGGTTAAGCGTCCGACTCTTGATCTCAGCTCAGGTCTTGATCTCAGGGTCATGAGTTCAAGCCCTGCATCAGGCTCCACACTGGGTGTGTAGCCTACTTAGAAAAAAAAATCTTGAGTACTAAATTAAACATTTGCTTTTTACTTTGACAAATACGAAATAGGTTTAAATAAATGTGAATCAGAGCCTAAACATAAAGTAGTGAGAAGCACATTGACTTTGGAACTTGGAAGTGGGTCCTCCTCACACTTCATTCCTAACTAGCTTTTAGCTTCTTTGTGCACCAGTGAATTTTGGATAAGAACTTAAACACCAGTGTATACATTTCTTGGAGTTTATTGCAATAGGATTTTACCTGTGGTAGTATTTTAATAATATACTATGTTTACAGCATATTCATAGTCATGTTTTATAGTATTCTTTCTAGAAAGGTGGTATTTTCATGTATAAAAAGTAGCTTAGATAGAATTGCTCAAAGAATTTCTCTAGACCTTCCTTGAACATATGAGTAAGTACTAGAGTTTATACTGTTTTTTATCCTAACTTATACAAATACATAGTGTGTCTTCTTTTGGATTGTTTGATTTTCGTGCTCTTTACTTCTCCCCTTTGCCTGCCTTGTGATATAGCTATTCCATATGTTACAGGATTTTTGCCTTCGTTTTTTAAAAATTAAAATCATCATATATGTATTATTTTTAAATAAGATTTTGGTGTAGAATAAGTTGAAATGTTTTGATGAAATTTGTGCCTTTCAGTTTCCACTCAACCATATTTTTATCTTTTCCTTTCAGTAAATCTAGTAAATGTTGGGGGGTGGGGGGAGGCGAGGATATTGTTCTTCTAAAATTAAATAATGTATGTGGGTCTAATATTTTTAATAATTTTATGATTTAAAATTTTTCTTCTCTCAGGGAGAGAATAAATTAGCACAATCTTTTTGGAAGATAATCTGGTATTTAGTGTCTATTAATTTTAAATGTGAAATATCTAGTAGTTCACCTCAATAAATTGTTCTTAGAGAAATCCTCACTAGGTGAGCAAAGTTGTACATCTGAGATGTTCATTGCATGGTTGTGCAGAAACTGAAAATAACTCAAATGTTCCAAAAACGTGGAGTTAGAGAAATAACTTCTGTAGATTGGTATCTAAGGCAGCCATGACAAATTGGTGAACCGGAGCTGTAGGGGCAGTTTACCTTGAACGAAAGAATGTTTGCAGAACACTGCTACATTATCTCATTTAATATTCACATTAGTCTTTGCAATCAGCATATTCTTAAGTACATTCTGCAGATGCAGAACTGAGATTTATAGATAAATAATTTGCCCAGTGCACAGCTACAAAGAGGTACATTGGAATTTGAACCCAGGCCTGTGTGACTTCAAAACTCTTTTTTCAGTTGTTCGAGGCAGACTTCTAAGAAAGTCAACTCGGCATCACTGAGGCTTCACCTGACTTTCTCACATGTAAAGTGAAGAGAGATCTGGACTTGATCTCTTACTTGCCTTTCAGCTCTAACATTTGTTGCTTTTCTTAGCATACCTGATCTACCCAAAATGAAAATATTACTTGCGAAGTACCCAACGCATCATAAGTTCTCAGTAAATATTAGTTGAATAAATAGAAATAGCATAGCTCGTTGTATCACAGAATTCCAAGCTAGCCTAGGATGTAAAGCATTTTGCAGTCTTCCCTGTCTCCCTTCCTCTCCTCAAAAAGAATGTGAGATTAACAACTTCTCTTCTTCACGTCAATTAACCACATGCACTTGGAGTCAGAATGCTTGCTGCTTGTGGTGATGCTTTTGTATTTTCATATGAGTGCTGACTTGAAAGCTGATGGAAAGTAGCAGGGTTGTGCTAATTTGAGGAGTATGTGAACTAGCTGGTGTATTCAGTACTACCTGAGAGTTCACTTCCAGATGCTTCCACATGCTGTAGCTTCAAGTAGATCATACCAGTGTCTGTTACAGAGAGGAGAAATCTTGATATTAGGAGAGTTTGTAACAAAGCATCAGGCCTACTTCTTTTAAGAAGTAAAACTACCATGTTTGACCTATCTTTCTGCATGGTTATACAGTTTGTCTTATCCCTGTCGTTAAACCTAAAGTCATTTAAGATTTAGGGTTTTTTTTTTTTTTTTTTGGTTGTTTTTTTTTAAAGATTTTATTTATTTGACAGAGACAAAGCGAAAGAGGGAACACAAGCAGGGGGAGTGGCAGAGGGAGAAGCAGGCTTCCCACTGAGCAGGGAGCCCAATGTGGGGCTTGATCCCAGGACCCTGGGATCAGGACCTGAGCTGAAGGCAGACGCTTAACGACTGAGCCACCTAGGCGCCCCTAAGATTTTAGGTTTTATATGACATTTTTAATATTAGAAAACATGTTTGTACCATGATTACAATATTGATTGAATTCTTGGGAATGGGAGTTGGGTGGAGCTTTGTACCTCGCGCTGCGTGAAATGCAGACACAGATATATACATTATTCAAGATAATTGCAATGCAAGTCTACTTTTAAAATGGTGACAGACAATGTCTAAAAGTGTCATCAGGTTGCTGTTGCGTGAAATGCATTCACTGTAAGGGAGATAGGGAGGATAAAAACACTGATACTAAAAAAAAAAACCATACTGAAAAGATAGAGGATTATGATTGAAGATATCAAAGCTAGGTTAAGTAGTAAAGTCATAAGTCCTTTAACTTTTTTAACTTCATTACAAGAGATTTAGAGTTAACCTTGATCTTAAATGTGTGGCATGGTTAGGTTATAAGGGGGACATGGCAAAAATTATGTTAATAGTTTTATATAAATCTCCCCACTAATTAAACACCCTTGCTTATTCATGACAGATAAATTGCATTATCTTCTGCTTAAAATATATTTACAGAATAAACAGTTGCCTTTTGGCATTATTTAAAATCCTAGACTCCAGAGCTAGAGAAAACCACCACCTCAAATAAATCTGGTTAATTTATGTTGTCCTTAGTTACTACCACAGTGGTTAAAATATGTTTAGTTTTGGCAAAGAATTATAAGATACGACGACTTGGATAATTAGATGTGTTCTTATAATTTCATTAGTATGCCTCAGTAAATAAGTCTTGTTTGGTACATCCATTTGTATTAAACCTGATGACTAAACCAAAGTAATCTTAATCATTTTCTCATGTTTAGCTGGATCCAGAACGAAGTTTATTTGACCAAGGAGTAAAAACAGATGGAACTGTACAACTTAGTGTACAGGTAATTTCTTACCAAGGTAAGCAACTTTTATAGTTACTTAAAAGTTTAGCTCATGTTTTTTAAAATACGGGAGAACTCAATTTTACAAGGTCAGGGTGTTTTAGGTGGTTGTCTAAATTACTTAATGTGATGTTGTAGCCAAACACTCATGCTTTTGGTTTAATAATTATATCTGTCAGGGTGAAGCAGGTAGTATAACGTATTCTTTTTTTTCTTTCTTTTTTTTTTTAAGTATAACATTCTAGTTTTTTCAGGGAAGGATATATTGTAAGGTAGAAAGAGCTGGAAGAGCAGGTTCTGGTTGACTTTCTCAGAATGCCTTAGCCACACTGCAGAACTGGATTGCCAAGGAAGCTGTTGCCCTGCCATGATCTGGAAAATGCCAGATCTGAAAGCCACCATTATAGCTGTCAACTTAGAACCCCTCTGCCTTCACAGTGATCACACTAGCCAAAAAATGGGTTCCATGTGCCTACTTGTCCCTTCTTAACTTGTTTCCAGATAGAAGGCTTATGCCAGTGATTTGGGAGCCAGAATCCCAACTGGAACCCTCGCCACAAGGAAATCTATTCCCTACAGTTTAGCACAGAGAGGAATTTGCAAAAGATGTTGAGTGACTCAGTCAGCCATATCCATCACAGTATTTTACTAATCTTGTGTAAGTACAAAAGTTAGAGAATTAGGAAACCATATTTGGTAGGTTGAATTTTAGTTTTTGTGGCTTGTTAGGTGTTCTGACCAGAGTTTTACACTAATTTTAATGTTTGAACATATTATATTGCTTACAGTTGCATTTCACAAATCATACTTCTCTCAAACTATAAAAATGGTAGTTATCCCCTTCCGATCTACAATTTCCCCAGTATTATCATTGACAATAAGAAAGAAATTCTTTGTTTTATCTTTAAAAGCCTCGTCACCTCTCAGTGTAAGTGGATTTGGGAAGAGCTGACTTGTTGAAATTTGAGTGGAGGATTAGGGAATAAAGCTTAGAGAAAAAATTTTTTTAAAGTTAGTTATTTTTCTCATGTATATTTGGAAAAGGGTCTTATCTTTATACCATATAATGAATGATAGCAATACATTTTATTATAGAGTTGGTTTTCAGGGAGGATTGAAGTTGAGTTTTAATCTTTCAAATACACTTTGATTAAATTTGATGCAGATTGTAACAGAATCAATGACCAAACAGTAGCTGTTAAGTAATAATGATAGTTTTTTAGAGCTGTCATTGTAACAGAACTATCTGAGATGATTTTATGAAGAGCTAGTTTATTTGTATTGAATATATTAAGAATTTTGGTTTTTTTTTTTCATTCAACTGAAAGTGGAAATCAGAAGTTAATGTGAACTTAATTTTACAAACTCAGTGCCTATTCATTTTTAAACATGTACTTTGACCTTTGAAAAGAAAAGCAATCAGTAAATAATTGTAATTTGCTTAGAAGGACTTTTAAAAATTCTACAGGTGGGTAGCTACTCATTTATACTTTCCTTAGTCTAGTTTTTATTTTCTAATCCATATTGGTACTTTTTTCCTAATAAATGTTTATATGTAGCTGTGTGTGGTGGTGGTGGTGTTTTTATATCCTTTTAGACTTACAGAAAAGTTGCAAGAGTAGTAAGAGAACTCCTGGATGTCCTTTACTCAGATTCTCCAAATGTTAACTTTTATTACATTTGCTTTATTCTCCATCCACCCGTCCCCACATTATTTTTTTTTTTTTTGCCCAGTTGAAGAATAAGTTGCAGACATGATTTCCTTCTATCCCTAAATGCATCAGTGTATGTGTTTTCTAAAAACAAGGAATTCTTTTATATGACATTACAGTTATCAAAATCAGGGAATTAATATTAATACAATACTGTTATCTACTGAAGTACTAGTGAATAATTGTATTTGTGTCTAAAAGAGAGCATTTGCTCTACCATTTGAGAACATATAAACTAAGCTAAATTTTATTTTTTAGTGACTTTTGTGTTTTCATTTAAATTACTTTTTTTTTTTCCACTCTTAAGGAATTGAACCTAAGCTAAACATCCTTGAAATTGTTAAACCTGCGGAAACAGTTGAAGTAGTCATTGATCCAGATGCCCATCATGCTGAAGCAGAAGCACATCTTGTTGAGGAGGCTCAAGTAATAACTCTTGATGGCACAAAACACATTACAACTATTTCAGACGAAACCTCAGAACAAGTGACAAGATGGGCTGCCGCTCTGGAAGGTTATAGGAAAGAGCAGGAACGCCTTGGGATACCTTATGGTAATAAAATACTCAATTACATGTCAGTAGAACAATAAGAATTAAGCTTGACATAGAGGACACTAGGGTGAGTAAGTTATAATCTATTTTAAATGAAAAATTTTTAGGAAGAATGTTGATTTTCTGTATCTCTCTTTTTATCCCCTTTGGACAAATATTGTCCCAGGTGCTAGGAATACGAAGAAATTAAAAAAAAAAAAAAATTCTGTCTTTAGGGTGTTCATAGTGGAGTTGAAGAGAGAGAAGATAAATGAGAGAATTACCATTAAAAGTAGCATGGTTTTAAGCTGTCAGTAACTTATATAAAGGGAATATGCTATTAGGATCTCAGAGATGGGGGCACCTGGGTGGCTCAGTCAGTTGAGCATCCGACTTTTGACCTTTGCTCAGGTCATGATCTCAGGGTCCTGGGATCAAGCCCCAAGTCGGGCTCCATGCGTCAGCGTGGAGTCTGCTGCTCTCCCTCTTCCTCTGCCCCTCCCCCACTAAAATAAATAAATCTTAAAAAAAAAAATCTCAAAGGGATTGCAGTGGCCTGGGGGAACATTGGGAAAAGGTTTATTATTATAGACAAACTATTGAGCAGAGGACAGTCCATTTAGGAAATGTATGTGCAAAAGTTAGACACGGGAGTGAGTATGCAGCAGTAGCAAGAAGATTTGGTGGAGTTACTCTCTAGTATTATAGAACTGCTTTTGATTGATGGACATGACCATGGGAGATGAATATGGCAGCAGTATATGACATACGTTGGAGCAGGTAGAGACTGAATGAAGGGAAAACAGGAGCATGTTATAGTTGAGCTGTGACTAGGTGATAATGTCTAGGTTAGCCTAGACTTGATAATTTATGTGGGAAGAGTTGAATGAAACCAGCGACGGGGCTGAGCAACTGACTGATGGGTTGTGTGAGAGAGAGGAAAGATCCGAGTACTGATGCAACTTCTCAAGCTTGGGTGACTAGGGCAATGATTATACTAATGAGACCCGGTTACATCTTCATTACATATTTAGTGAACTACCTATGCCAGGCATCAGTGTTAAACACTGGACTTTCAATGGCACATAAGAAAGCTAGGCCATGCCCTCCAGCGCTTAAGTGGGGGAGGTGGGGAAGTCTGGTATTGGAAAGATTTTTCAAGGGAAAATGTTGGTAGTACTTCATTTTGAAGTGATAGTACATATTTCAGCTGAAGGTAGCCAGAACGTATTTTCAGGTACACAGGATTTGGGCTGGAGATAAAGATGTTTTCTGGGACTTAGCTGTGTTGAGTTTGTATTGAAGCTGTACAAGCATATGCAGTCTCTGATGGAGAGAGATAAAATGGAAAAGGACACAACATTAAAGGCTGGACCTTGTCGGCATTTCAGGTTGAGGAAAAGGAATGGAGACGTGGAATAGCTGAAGAGATAGAAGGAAAATAAGAAAAAAGAGTTTTAGATGGACAAGAGTGGCCACATCGCTGACAAAGTAAAAAAAAATGCCAACTGAGTAGTATCTATTAAATTTGGTGATCAGAGGCTCATTGGTAGATTTAGAAAAAAAGTAACTGTAAGACAAAGCCTAATTATAGGAAAAAATAGACATTATAGAAGTAGAGAAAACAATATTAACCTTTGGGGGGCAAATGGGAAGAGTGTTGGGGGATAAATATTATTGAAGCTTCATGAGTTGTTAGTAACCTGAGTATTTGTAGATAAAATGGTGTGGCACGAGCAGGAGAAGGATAGATGAAGGAAGCCAGGAGAGGGGCTTTTAATTGGAGCCTAAGAAGGTAAACCCAGTTCGAAGGATCAGATAGAGCCATTCCTCAGGTACGTGGTTGCCAATACTGTTACTTATTTTTGACTTGTAAAAGCTAGCATAGATGTCATGCTTGATCTTATTGTTAGTGAGTTTGAAGTCACCTTTGAGAGGGGAAATGCTGAGAAGGAAAGAAGAGAGCGTAAAAACATTTGAAATATTTTACGTAGTTTACTAGACTTTCAACAAGAACCCTTCAGTAATAGGGTATTTTATGGAGAGTAGTATATAATACTGAATTGTAGAGAGCAAGATTATAAACTCTGACTCAAGAGTAGCTACCAGGGGTATCATTTACTTAGAATAAAGCTCTTTTAAAACACTTGTGGTTTAGGGCGCCTGGGTGGCTCAGTCGGTTAAGCGACTGCCTTCGGCTCAGATCATGATCCTGGAGTCCCGGGATCGAGTCCCGCATCAGGCTCCCTGCTCGGCGGGGAGTCTGCTTCTCCCTCTGACCCTCCTCCCTCTCATGCTCTCTGTCTCTCACTCTCTCTCTCTTAAATAAATAAATAAAATCTTTAAAAAAAAAACACAAAACACTTGTGGTTTATTTAGGTACAGGAAGACTTTTTAAGTCATTTTTTTTCTGTCATGAAATTGTTAGCAACTGGGAAGTTTTAGAAATTTGATTACTGTTTTCTTAGGAAATTATCATTTCAGGTTTCTGTGTCTGTACCTAAGGGTAGTCATTTTGAAATTGCTTAATTCTCTGCAAAATTGAAATATGGTTAGCTGGTCATAGCTACTTTAAATCTCTTTGAAATATTGATTCACACTGGACAGTTCCCTAAAGTTCATTTTACGCATATCAACTTTGTATCTTGACAGGAGCTTAGAGCCACCTCTTCATATATATACAGTCCCTTCACTTTTATATTTTTCCAGGACCCTAATTCTTTTTCCTGCTGATTGATTGATTTTTTTTACTATTTCACATTTAAAAACTACAGAAGAAACTCAGTGAATTCAGAGTAGTTAGAAGTCTGGTCAAATGGGAATGTTAAAACTGACTAAAAGTAAAATTAAAGTCAATATTCATTCTTGTCCTTTATTAAACAATATTGAAAAGATGGCTCTGCTTTTTAATTTTTTTTTAATTTTTTATTTTTAAGTCCAAAATTTCACAGATATTTTGAGAAAAAGGACAGAATTAATTTATTTCCAGTGTTGAAAAAAAAATCATAAATATACCCAAGTTCAATCACACTACTGACAGAATTGCTACTGAGTTTCAAAAGAGGGCAATGTGTTACCTGTAAAAAAGTTGCTCTTATTTATTTATTTTTTTTAAAGATTTTATTTATTTATTTGACAGAGAGAAACACAGCGAGAGAGGGAACACAAGCAGGGGGAGTGGGAGAGGGAGAAGCAGGCTTCCCGCGGAGCAGGGAGCCCGATGCGGGGCTCGATCCCAGGACCCTGTGAGCATGACCTGAGCCGAAGGCAGATGCTTAACGACTGAGCCACCCAGGCGCCCCAAAGTTGCTCTTATTTTAAGGTTGATTTTACTTTCCCCTCCCAGGATATCAGTTGTAATGCGAGTTGCATATTATAGCAGTTTAACGGTTTAGTGAACTACCTATGCCAGGCATCATGTTAAACGCTGGACTTTCAGTGGCACATTAGAAAGACAGGCCATGCCCTCCGGCGCTTAAGTGGGGGAGGTGGGGAAGTCTGCTTTTTTATTTTTATTTTTTCTTCCAGTTGTTTGAATAATAAAAAAGAAAGATAAATACTCATGTTTTTGGCTCCCAGAATTGTTAGATATTCACATTTTAAAATACTATATATTCACACAAAAATAAAGTATTACAGAGAGAGTTGATTTGTATGTAACTAGCTCTCCAGTTCCATAGCTGTCCCCCCGTCCCACAGGGAAGCTCTCAATTGTGTATCTGTCAAGTCTGGTTTAAAGAAAGTCAGTCTTAGAAAAACAGTTTTCCTTTCTTCAGTCCTACTCCCCACTTGCAACCACTTTCCACTTTACTGCTTCTAATCATTATTAACTTCTTGTTACAGTAGATGAGGTTTAGTTCTCTTATATTGTTTTCCCCTGCAAAGCAAATAAAACCTTATCTTTCCCTATTTTGTGAATATTCTTACGTAACTTTTAAGTCATTAGTTAGTGTGTATTGTGAGAATTTTTCATATAACCGTGACTGCATTTTTACAGCTTCTGGTTTTCCTGAAGTTCCAAGTTGACTTAATTTTTAGTTTGTGGATTTCTGTATATACCAAGACTGACTTTCTCCCATTTCCATCACTCTGTAATTTTTCCCAAATTCTCAAGTATTTCTAGATTGGTTTACAATCTGCCACAGCGCTGTCTGTCATCCTCAGACATCCTTGACTTTCCTCCAGTGCTGGATCCATTTTCCAGGATCTTATATTTTCATTTTTCCTGGTTTTATTCTCACATTTACTCATTATTCTCTCATTTTTCCTTACAGGTTTCCTTAGAAAGGGCACCTAGGAAATAAAAGTTGTTTTTATTTTTGGTTTGGGGGGGTGTTTTTTGTTTTTTGGTTGTTTGTGGGTTTTTTGTTTTTTTTTTTTTGGTGGGGGACACTACAAATCTGGAGAATTGGCCAAACACCTGACAGGAGTAGAAGGTTGGTCTGAGGATTTAGGGTTGCCATGTATGTGAATGCTGCATTCTAGAAGTGGAAAGGGAAGTGCAAAGGGTCTCACTCTTCAGTTTGTAGACTTTTAGTCCTGGGATCGGTATCCATTTCATGTCTGTCCCAAAAGTTCCGGGATGTAGGGATGTGGAAGGGGGTGGGGGGATATGGGCATGTGTGTGGGGATGCTTCTGTTCAGTTGGCTCCTGAGAATGAAGGAGAGGCCCTGGAGGTTCTAACCACACCATACACTTTAAATTAGTCCCTCATTTTCCACTTACACCTCTCCTGCTACCTGGAACCAATATTGACGTGAGTCAATAAGGGGGTTCTGCAGTCAGGAAACGCTTACTTCTTACTGTATCCTCCTTGATAGATATTTTGGGTCATAGCTTCTACTTCACTTGATTTTCACTCTGCTGTCTTTAAAAATTAGTCAAAAATCTTCCGTCCGTTTATCATTTCACTCATGTTCCCATGAGTTTACTTCCTTTAAAAATTCCTTTAGTATCATTTTGCTAGGGTCTTAGAGAAATAAGCAGGGAGAATATGCACAGACAATTAGTTATGTTACCCCAGAAGTCCTGATACTATTTAAGAAAACAAATCAGACTGTTTGCATCTGCCCCAACTTTTTTGATCATGACACTTTTTTTTGGTTCATGTTTATGTAAAATGAGGTTACTTGATCTTTTAAAGGGAAGTGTGATTCAGGATAGCTTTTCTGACTTTCTGTAACTCTTTCCTCTGTTATTTTCAAATAGTATTAAAAACAGAGCCAGTAGAGGCACCTGCCTGGCTCAGTCAGAAGACCCTGTGACTCTTGATCTCGGGGTCGTGAGTTCAAGCCCCACGGTGGGTGTAGAGATTCTTAAATAAATAAAACTTAAAAAAAAACATAGCCCCTGGCTTTCTCAGTTCCTGTCTGTTCCCTTACTCCACTTTCATCTGGACCTCCTCTTTTTCTTTGGTGTTCCTGTGCTACTCAATTTAGATCCCATTCCCTCCAGTTTCTCATTGTGTTCCACTCTCCTGGATGTGATCTGTGGCTCAGTTTGAAAAATCCAAAGGTGGTGCACTGCTCCAGCCCCTTAAACCTTACCATGGACCTTTGTACTCAGCTGCTGTTGGATTGGGCAAAGCTATTTGAGCTACTCCTTTGAGCTTGGCCTGTTGTGCTTTCAGTGAAAACTTCTTGGCTGTGTTCAGGTTCTCCTGTGCTCAGAATGAAGAATGGGTCAGATTTCCCTTTGCTTCCCCCTTTGCTTTCTTCTGAATAGATACTGATACCATGAAGGTCTCTGACTGTTCCTGCTTTGTCTTCACCTGTGTGTATTTGGCTTCCATGGGGATATATTGTCACCTGGTTTTATTGTAAATGTACATGGATTTTGGGTTTTGTTGTCTTTTGCTTTTAGTGGTTTTTTCTTTAATGTGTACATTCAGAGACATTAAAAAACTTCGCTGCCATCTTAGAATCCTTCTCCCTTCTCCTCTTTGTGAAAAGATCAGATAAAAAATCAGTTCTGTGCCTGTGAATCCTGTATTTGTTTGATTCATCTTTTATTATAAATTGGCTCTTAATAAGTACCTAAATGTCTTTTTCCCACTTATTCCAGTTGAATAGCATGCATCTTGGGGAGCATGTAACCAGTACTATTTAGATAGATCATCTTCTCCATGCAGAAACACCTATACCAAAATTAATTCAGCCAGTTTTTACTAAATTTATATGGGTAGAATACTCCATTAGGTGCCCGGGATACAACAATGAAATATTTATACATGTTGGTCATCTTTTTCATTTGTGAACTCAATTAGATAGTAAAAAAATGATGAGGAAAATGACTATTTGGATTTACTTATCATAGATTTAACAGATTATGCTATGCATAAGGCATTGTGGTAAACTCCAAAGATACACTGGTTTATAAGACACAGTCCTTATATTTAAGACCTTAATGTATTACAGGGAAAGACAGATGAGTAAACATGCAATTTGCATGTTGTATTATAAGTGCCACTAAAGGGTATATATAAGAGCACCAGGTTTTTATAAGAAGCAGAAGGGAGAAAAGATTATGTTGTGCACATTTTGGAGAATAAGTCTAGCTCCTCAGAACCCCCTTACAGTTTTCTTTCTTTCTTTTTTTTTTTTTTTCCCAGTGTACCAAATTATACACTGCTACAAAGTAATGTTTAAAACTTGGAGAACGGGGCGCCTGGGTGGCTCAGTTGGTTAAGCGACTGCCTTCGGCTCAGGTCATGATCCTGGAGTCCCGGGATCGAGTCCCGCATCACGCTCCCTGCTCAGCCTCTGACCCTCCTCCCTCTCATGCTCTTTGTATCTCATTCTCTCTGTCTCAAATAAATAAATAAAATCTTTAAAAAAATAAAAATAAAAAAAAAAATAAAACTTGGAGAACGTAATCCATTCTCTCCAGAGTAATCCCATATTTTATTCTTTCAGTTGACCCATTGAAGAGTAATTTTACATTGTTTTTCTTGATAAAATTCTAGACTAACTGATGTAAAACCAGGTGAATTCATTAAAAATTTAGATTGAGAACTTGAAAAGGATATGAGGAGAAAATATAGTATTAAAAACCTTTTTGAGTTTGTGAACTCAATTAGATAGTAAAAAAATGATGAGGAAAATGACTATTTGGATTTACTTATCATAGATTAAGTAAATACTTGGGAAGAAAAACCTGTCTGGATTTTTCTCCATATGTATGTGTGTATGTATATGTGTATTGACAAATTAACCGTGAATTTATACATATCTGAGATAGAACTAGGCTAATGGTAATATTTTTCTCTTTAGATCCTATACAGTGGTCCACAGACCAAGTCCTGCATTGGGTGGTTTGGGTAATGAAGGAATTCAGCATGACTGATATAGACCTGACCACACTCAACATTTCCGGAAGAGAATTATGCAGTCTCAACCAAGAAGATTTTTTTCAGCGAGTGCCTCGGGGAGAAATTCTATGGAGTCATCTGGAACTTCTTCGAAAATGTATAAAATTTGAATTGTTATCTATTTGTACTGTAACTTGAATTTAACTTTATTTCTTTATAACTTTGTCTTCATTGTTCATTGTGATCATTGATAATAGCAATAATAATTAACACCTATTAATTGTATAAGGCTGTGCTGGGAGCTTTATAGATATTATCTCATTTAATCCCTCTGCTAATGCCACAAATCATTACTTTTCTTATTTTTTAGATAGGATACCATGGCTTAGAGAGCCAGCCCCACAAGGGTACAGGGCTAGGGAACGGCAGAGCCAAGATCCAAAACCAGACTGAAGAACATCAGAATCCAGGCTTTTAAGATGATGTGACCTACACTTAGCTCTCTCCATAAATTCCAGTCTCGTTGACTTCTGTTTCATCAGTCAGTTCTTTCATTTACGTCTTCATCTTCTGGAAATTTAAGATTGTCCGCAGATTTCTTCCCTCTTGTTCTTTTCATCATTAATGGAATTAAACCTAAAATTTCTTTTAATTGAATGGGATCTTAAGAGAAAAAGGAGAAGTGTAAGTGTGCAGTCCTCTGTTTTGAAGTCTGCTGGTTATAAGTGTTTCCATGTTGGTTCCACAAACATTATTATTATGATTAAGTGACTATATACAGAAAATAGAAATTACTTGGCTGACCAACAAAAAGCTCAAATAAATTTAAATTATTTTGTTTGAATTTTAATCCATCTTACATATATATTTTTTTTAAGATTTTATTTATTTGAGAGAGAGAGAATGAGAGAGAGCGAGTACATGAGAGGGGGGAGGGTCAGAGGGAGAAGCAGACTCCCTGCCGAGCAGGGAGCCCGATGCGGGACTCGATCCAGGGCCTCCAGGATCATGACCTGAGCTGAAGGCAGTCGCTTAACCAACTGAGCCACCCAGGCGCCTTCCATCTTAAATTTCAGTGACTATCTGTTAAAGTACTGTAGCAGTAACCTGTTCCCTAACACCATTCTACAGGCTAGAAATGCTAGCCAGACCCACATACTTTGTGTGACTAAGACAAACTCTGACTTTGTTTTTGTAGTGGTTATGGATAAAAAGGTAACTGGTAGGGTTGGTTCTATTATGTGCCCAGTAAAGGAACAGCTCTGGTTGGAGGGGTTTTCCGCAGGTATTTGAAGGCTTAGGGTTTTCATCTGGGGTGCATTCTCTGCTGCTGAATAAGAAATGAGCTCTGGAAAGAGGCTTTCCTTCATTGATTATAGTTTCTCTTTCATGGAATCTCTTAAATATTAGAGGGGAGAAGTGTATATTGACACTGAAAGTCTTACTGCATTCATTACATTTACAGAGTTTATTTCCAGTTTTTCTTATTAGATAAATAATTTAAATGTTCTGATTAAAGGTTTGTCCTTGGTTTCACAGGGTTTTTTTCTTTCTCTACACAGCTTTTCAGATAAAAAAGAAAACTCTTGAATTGTTTCAGGTTTTTAACATGTGAGTCATGTTTACTGAAATGTATCCTTGTAGGAACTGTCAAGATGAGGACAAAGACAGTGTTTAGACTACAGTTTAAAATTGGTGGGTTTTGCTGTCTCCCCCACAGCAGCACTTTGTTGTGGTTGTCTCTGGTTCTCCTAGCGCTTCTCAATCTTTCAAGCTTATTCAGAGACTTTTCCTAGTATGGGGAGCAGAGGAATCTTGTGTATCTATTCATTTCCTTGAAGTGGGGAGAATGCTCAGAACTAGGAATCTGGATGAAGCAGTAACATCTCCAGTTTACGGAAAAGTTAAGCTATGTTTCAAGCATTGTGCTTTTTGAAAACATCTTCCTTTATTCCTTATAGCAGCCTCATGAGGTGGTAGGTGGCGATATCTCATTTAAACATGAGGAAATTAATGCTTAAGTTGGTTGAATAATTTACCAAAGTCACAGAGCCAATAAGTGAGTGCTAAGATCAGAACCAAGATCTCAGGCTAGTCCCATATAATTGTATCCCCAAAGAAAGCCCCCATCTGACAGGTAGGGTTTAGTCCTCTTTTTAAAAGTTTCTCAGTCCTTTCCAGCTGTGTGTGTCTGGAACTGGATCCTGGCATGGCACCATAAGTAGAACTGTGCTCGGTGCCCAGGCTAGGACTCACTCAGTACACAGATGATTGCTGGTGGGTACAGCTTCAAGAGAAAAGCATCTAATCTATGATAGGCACTAAATAAATAGGCTGAAGTATTAGAGTATGGGAAATAGGAATTCTCATTTAAGAAATAAAGAATAGCATTTGAGTAGGGGATAGCAACAGATGAGTAAAGAATGGATCTCTAAGGAGGTATATTAGGACCTTTTACAGTGTAACTCTCATGTTGAGAGCTATATTTGTAGCCATCGTTATATTATTTCATTCACTTGTGACTTTTAGGACGACTACAATTTTATTGAAAATTTAGCTATCTTTAGGGAGCATTATAAAATTAAAGCAGTCTTGTGGTGCCTGGGTGGCTCAGTCAGTTAAGCATCCGGCTCTTGATTTCAGCTCAGGTCATGATTCAGAGTCATAAGATCGTGGGGTTCTCTGTTCAACAGAGTCTGCTTGAGATTCCCTCTCCCTCTGCCCCTCCCCTGGCTCACTTTCTCCGTCTCTCTCTCTCTCTCTCTCTCTCTCAAATAAATAAAATCTTAAAAAAAAAAAGTTAAAGCAGTTTTATTCAAATCTTTTATTCAATCTCTTAGAACAGATTAGTAAGTTATGACCATCTCTCCGTCATCTTGACTGCAAATGCATATCTAACAATTGTATAAGCAGTTTCAGTGTGGTATACATGCTCATCTTTGATTTGATCTTGAAGATTTCCATGTTTTAAATGGTTTTATACAGATAGATTTAGATATAGATATTTATGTTATGGTACTATCCAACTCGGAATCTGAACTGCTCTTTTATACTGTAAATTATAAAAAGTAATTCCATTTTCCTAACAGCTCTTAACATTAAAAGAATTAGAGCTCTCCATCTGTTATTTCTCTTAAAAATATCTTTTCTTTGCAAAGTGACTATCAGATATTTTTTAGGTTATTGTGCCAATAAGTTTTATTTAATGTTTTGCTTTTTAGTTTATTTGGTTGGTCAGTTGAATTGAGTTTTACTAACTTGAGTTTGCATTGCTGGGGTAAATGTAAACAAAAATTTTTATGTGTGTTCTTCAGATGTGTTGGCAAGCCAAGAACAACAGATGAATGAGATAGTTACAATTGATCAGCGTGAGTATTCATCCTGTAATATATGGCCCATTTGTCAATAAGAAATTTTCTTTTAAAATTCAGAACTGCAAGGTAATAAAATTAGTTTTTAAACTTTTTATGAAGTATTTTAGATATACCAAGAAATAAAGTATATATAGTAACTAACATCTGTGTACACTGTAAGAACTAAAACTTTATATATCAGTTTTACCATGTTGTAGATCTCATTTTAAATGACTATCCTGAATTTGATGTTTATTATTCTATACATATTTTATATTTTTACCAATGAGGCAACCACACTTTATAGCATTGTTTTACCAGTGTTTAAACTTTTTGGGTAAAATGATAATAAACTGTACATATCCACTTATAACTTGCTTTTTGTGTAACAGTTATGAGACTTGTGATGATACTTACAGTGTGATTTCATTTTCACTGCTGTCTGTTATTTTTAAAACTCTGAATATCATGGAATGAGTATTTGTAAGAATGTGTGTGAGATTCTCTGGTTTATCACAGGGGTTCCACCCTTCCAGCCTGACTAGGGATTACCACAGCTTTTCACCAAGTGGTGGTAGGTGTTGGTGTTCTCATCAGTAGTGCTAATGAGTTCTCATTTGACCATATTTTCTCCCAACATTTGATAAACTACTTTTAATGAAGAAATATTCTTAAAGCCAATGTTTTTATAATTCCTTGTGTAATGTGTATACACACTAAGTCAATTGAAAATAAGACCAACTCTTATTCCCCAAGTTAAGATTCACAACCCATAATGCAAACATCATACCTTATCCTTGGAACTTCTTTGGTAATTTTGTTCAAAACTGCTGTGGATTAAGGCTTTTTTTAAATGAGGCCCTTTTGTTGAGCTAATTAGAGGGGCAGGGGCATCAGTAAAACTAATAGCATTTTATGTCTTTCAGTAATTTTTTTCACTGCTTGTATTAGAAGGAAAAAAACTCCCTCCATTTTTCTTCGCAGCTGTGCAAATTATTCCAGCATCAGTGCAGTCTGCTACACCAACTACCATTAAAGTTATAAATAGTAGTGCAAAGGCAGCTAAAGTACAAAGAGCTCCAAGGATTTCAGGAGAAGATAGAAGTTCACCTGGGAACAGAACAGGTATTTTTGCATTATCTTACGGTATTTATAAAATTTGTCAAATCATGTGTATTTTGTTTCATTTCACTGTATGAAAATATGAACATAGATTATTTCTCTGGCAATATTTAAACAGCATTTGTAAAAAAAAAAAAAAAAAAATTGTTTTTAGCAAGGTTGAGGGATGACCCAGAGAAGAACCTATTTATTGCCTTTTGCCTGCTATTAATCCATGGCACTGTGGTCAACGCTTGTCCTTCTTGTCAATTTAGGAAACAATGGTCAAATCCAACTGTGGCAGTTTTTGCTAGAACTTCTGACTGACAAGGATGCTCGAGACTGCATTTCTTGGGTCGGTGATGAAGGCGAGTTTAAGCTAAATCAGCCTGAACTAGTTGCACAAAAATGGGGACAACGTAAAAATAAGCCTACAATGAACTATGAGAAACTCAGTCGTGCATTAAGGTAACCATTTATCATTATTATTGTTTATTATTTTTTTTTATTATCAAGCATTTCTAAAAAATGACTTCTTATTCTAGGTTTAACATTGTTATAAAACATTAAAAGACTTGTTCATAAGATGTTTATTTCATTAAACAAAGAGCTGAAAGTTTCACACTTATGTTAAAAGTGACTTTTTTTTAAAGATTTATTTATTTTATTTTATTTTACTTATTTATTTATTTTTTAAAGATTTTATTTATTTATTTGAGAGAGAGAAAATGAGAGAGAGCACATGAGAGGGGGGAGGGTCAGAGGGAGAAGCAGACTCCCTGCCGAGCAGGGAGCCCGATGCGGGACTCGATCCCGGGACTCCAGGATCATGACCTGAGCCGAAGGCAGTCGCTTAACCAACTGAGCCACCCAGGCGCCCAAGATTTATTTATTTTAGAGCGAGTTTGTGCATGCTTGACCATGCTGGGGGGGGGGGGGGGGGCAGAGGGAAAGGGAGAGAGAAACTTTGTAGCAGACTCTGCGCTCAGTGTGGAGCCTGGGAGGCGGGGAGGGGGCTTGATCCCCTGATCCTGAGATCACGACCCAAGCTGAAACCAAGTCAGACACTTCACCGACTGTGCCACCCAGGCACCCCAAAAATGACTTTTTACAAGATCTTTAGTAATAATTTTGAGGCACATATTTTTTTTTTAAGATGATTCCAAGATTATTTGCTTTTATCTGGTTGAAAAGCATATATTACTCTGTTTAAAACTTACATGTTTAATCTCTGAGTTTTTTGTCATTTACATAACAGATAAAGATGCTGTCATATGCATAGGTGAATTGAGTGTAAATTTTAGCAAAGATGCAGATATTTTCTGTTTTTATAGCTAGGTGCAAAATGTCGCTCCATTTCTGTTATTTCTTTCCCTTCAGCCTGCCTGTATCTGAATATCCAACCTTTACACAGATTGAAATGAAATAGAATAAAATTATTTGTAACATAAGTAGTATGAATTTTTTGACATAATTACTCTCAGAAATTATGCTTACCCCAGTGATGGAAATTCAATATGTGCATTTAAGTAAAAAAGCAGGATATATGAATATATGGAACTAATGTCTTTTTGGAAGAGTGAACATAGTGTGAAATAGCTCTGTAATTTATCTCTATTTCTAAATAATATGCTTTTACTGCTACTTCATGTTTCATTTGGACATTGTGAATTTCACACTGAGAGATTATGATTCACCTCTCATCACTACACACACACACACTCTCCCTTCATCCTAATGTAATTACATAATTATATGGAAATGGTGGTTATATCAGTATTCATTGTTAGGATCATGATCATGTAAGTTCTGTTACATATTTTAGCATGATTATTTTTCTTTTCCAAAATAACTGTTTTCTTTAGCACTCATAAGTAACTAAAATGCTTTCTTTTTTTTTTAATTTTATTTATTTATTTGAGAGAGGGCAAATGAGAGAGAGAGTATGAGTGGGAGGTGGGGGTGGGGGCAAAGGGAGAGGGAGAAGCAGACTCCTTGCTGAGCAGGGGACACCCCCCACCCGCAGATGCGGGACTCGATCCCAGGAACCTGAGATCATGACCTGAGCTGAAGGCAGACACTTAAACTGACTGAGCCACCTAGGCGCCCCTAAAATGCTTTATTTTCAATGTGTTTATCACTTATTTAGTCTCACATACTTTGCCAACTATCTAAAAATCGTTTCCATATAATGAAAATTAAAGCTGTCATTTTTGGCAGTTGATATAATTGCATATATACAAGTCCCTTCAAAATTATAGATAAATTATTAGAATTAATCATTAAGATGCCAGTTCTCCTCAGATTGATACGTTTCAATGCAGAAAGTTTTTTTGTAGAACTTAACATGGTGATTGTAAAATTTATGTGGGAATATAAAGTGCCACAGTAGCTAGGATACCCAAAGATTAACAGAGTGGGAAGACTTGCTCGCCAAGAGCTTGAAACTTGCTGTAAAGCTACAACAATAAGACAGTGTGTTGTTTGCTTAGGAGAGACAAATAGACCACAGATTACAATAGAAAGCCCAAGTAGAACCGAGGATATAAGAGTATTTGACTTAAAGATGGCGTGGGGAAAACACATGAGGAAAAGACCCACTTTCAATCGATGGACCTCGGACAGTTGACTGTCCATATGGAAAGAAGTGAAACTCGATCCCTTCCTCATACCATACTAGAAATCGGTCCCATGTAGCTTGTAGCTCTAAATATGGAAAGTAAAATAGGAAAGCATCTAGAAATACCTCCATGATGTCAGTAGGTGAGGAAAGGCATCAGACAAAATTGACAGCACTAAGCCTGGTGGAGAAAATTAAGAAATTTAATTAAGAACTTTTTTGGTCAACAAAAGCCATTGTCGGGAGAGTGAAAGGCAAGCCATAAACCTGACATAAAAGTCATGTCTGAAGTAACTTAAGAACTCTTACAAATCAATAGAAGAAATAGAAAAAATAGTCAAGAGACATGAATAGACACTATGGACTGGAGATTATCCTCATGGCCAGTGACTGTTCCCCGCAGCGCATAGCCTCTTTCGTAATCAGGGAAATTTGGTTGGAAACCACAATAAAATGGCACAATATATATCTCAGGATGAGTAAAATTTAGATGCTTGCCAATGTACCAGGTGATGAGGATATAGAGGACCAGGAATGCCTCTACACTTTTGGTAGGAATGTAACCTGTAACCCAGCAGTTTCTCTCAATATCTACCAAACAGAATTGCATGCATATGCCCGCACACATGCTTATAGCAGCATTATTTATAATATCCAAAAACTAGAAACCAAATACCTATCACTGTCCAACAGGACAGTGAATAAATGAATTGTGGTAAACAAGAGTGGACCGTGTGTCCATGGAAATGAACTGGGCTACAAGCACTGATATGGATGAACCTCACAAATGCAATGTTCAGCAAAGGAATCAGACCCAAGAGAGTATATATTGTATGAATGCATTTATAGTGTAAAGTTTAAGAAACAGGAAGAGTAAATTACAGCATTTAGGGATGCATGTTTGGGTGACAAGCAATGAATTACCATCATGGAACAGGATTGTTTTTGCCTTTTAGAGTGAAGCAGGGGTAGTGATTGGGAGGGACCTTGGAGGGATTCTAGGGAAATATATTTCACAATTTAAAAGGCTAAAAAAATACAAGTTTAAAAAGAAAAGGGCAAAATCATATCCATGAAAACACAGGTATCATGTACCTTTCTACTTTCTTCGTTTTAGAGAGGGTACAAATGTGATGAATGCTATTATATGTGGTTGTATGACAGCATCTAGTAGATTGAAGGACATACTAAGTAAAATTAAAACAGTGTTTGTATTCTTTATCACCTCGTACCAAGAGACATAAGATTATACCAATTCCATTTTTCTCCTTGAAATATAAAGCCACTTTCTTCCTTTTTTGGTATATTTGTTACAGCCTTATATATTATGTAGAAATTTTCGTAAGAAATTGAAATACCAATCTCATTTTATTTTATTTATTTATTTATTTATTTATTATTTTTTTGTAAGATTTTATTTATTTATTTGAGAGAGAGCGAGCACATGAGATGGGGGAGGGTCAGAGGGAGAAGCAGACTCCCCGCTGAGCAGGGAGCCCGATGTGGGACTCAATCCAGGGACTCCAGGATCATGACCTGAGCCGAAGGCAGTCGCCCAACCAACTGAGCCACCCAGGCGCCCACCAATCTCATTTTAAACTGGATGACAGGCAATTGGTGATTTGTGGGCTAAGATCTAAATTATGTATAAACATAATTGGCACAAAAGGAAACACAAGAACTCTGTCCACTGTGTTGTATCTCTCACTGAGAAAGTGAACATAATTGACTGTTAGACTTTCACTGTTCAGAAATTAAGGAAAAGGGACTTAATTTCCTGCATGTAGATCCACCTTTTCATTAATGGACTTTTGATTAAGTTGAATGACTTAAATAATAAAATCCTGCCAAATGTGGTAGTTTACAGCATTTTGGTACTTTGGGAAATAGTTGTTCCTTTCATAACTGCTTATTGTCAGATTGGTACAAATGGGTAGTGCAGTTTTAAAATAAAGGCTTCAAGGAGGTGGGGAAAAATAATACAATAAAAAACAAAGCAAAATACAAGGCTTAACAGTCGTCCTGCCTATAAAAGTCTTGACTTGACTTTTTTCCTTTTATTGGAATTGGCAGCACGTAACAGTAAATAAACTGTTTTCCAAAGTAAATCTAAATCCAGCCCTGTTTCCATCTCCATACATAGCAGCAGTAAACCAGACTTCTAGAGGGACTTCTCCAGATTTGTCTATGTAGGTATAGAAACCTTGTTTCTTTATGACATCCTCTTCCTTGGTTTTCTGTATGCTGTCTTTCTTCTAGCTCTTTACTTATTCTTTTGAGGTTCCATATTAGATTTGGAGAATTTCACTGAAAGGAGAGCCTTTACATATTAAATGATGGCAAAGGCATGGCTACAACATAAGGGATTTTTGTACAATGCAGAAAAGAAGTGGACATTCCCACAGTCCATAGAATATGTGTATTACAAATTTCTCCTTTTATGTGGGTTCTTAATTATTAACATAGCTTATATTTTATAGACGGCTATGTGCCAGCATTGTGTGCTTAAGTGAGCACTTTGCAAAGATAATCCTTTTAATTCCCAGCAATTCTCTGAGGGTAAGTAATGTTTTTATCCTCACTGTATAGACGAGGAATAAAGACTCAGAGAAAATGTGACTTTCGTGTGGACAGAATCACAAAGTTGAGACACTGGATTTTGAATCTTGACATTCTGACTCCAAGCCCTTGTTCTTAGGTTCTGTTACTGCTCCCAAGGTTTTTTGTTTTGTTTTAATAATGTTCATTTTTAAATCAATATTTTATCATAATTGTTGAAATATGGTTTGAAAATTTAGTATATAGAGTTTTAGAATACTGAACATTGAAATTTTAGTAAACAATGCTTTGAAGTTTCCTTGGATAGTAACATTAAATATTTCTATATAACTTCAATGTTAATTGCTATCAGGGAAATACAGTACTAGGCTCCTGCTTATGGAAGGATTTGTGAACTATTGTAAGAAATCCAAATTCTGTATTTTTTGTATAGTCCTAACATGTTTTTCTTTTTAAAGGTATTATTATGATGGGGACATGATTTGTAAAGTTCAAGGCAAGAGATTTGTGTACAAGTTTGTCTGTGACTTGAAGACACTTATTGGATACAGTGCAGCAGAGTTGAACCGTTTGGTCACAGAATGTGAACAGAAGAAACTTGCAAAGATGCAGCTCCATGGGATTGCCCAGCCGGTCACAGCAGTAGCCCTGGCCACTGCTTCCCTGCAGACGGAAAAGGAGAATTGAGCCCAGGATCTTCTGGGAGCCTGAGGTCTTTCTTAAATATTAGAGCAAGTATTGCTCTTCCTTTATTACTGAATTTGAATCTTCTTTTATTTCTAGACTGTACAATCTGACGCATGATTTTTTTATAAATATTTCATACTCTTGTGAATTTGGATCTTTTTACTTTGAGCATATATTTTAGAATACGTGTATGTTAAGGATCACCACAATGTCTTCAGCACGAAGTCAGGTTCATTGTGGGATAGTTTGTTAACAGTCAGGAAAGCTAAACTGGTCAGTATTAATGTCTAGCCCTACCAAAAATAGCCAGTAGCATCTGAGGATGAAAAATAAATGAAGTATCTCCAGGAAACAGTCTGGCTTAACTATTTTTGAAAATATAACTGTTTCCCTTCTCTGCTGCTTTAGATGTTGCTTTACATAGAACCAGAAAATGGAATTTTTCATAGCTAAAGCATGTGTGCCTGTTTCATCTAATCAAGCAGAGCTAAAATATTCATATCGAATAAAATTATAATATTAATAAATTACTAAACTGAGAGTATCAAGTTATTAAAATAATTTATATATTTGCAAGCAAGGACAATAAGAAGTCGACTGGCAGAAGAGCATTGCTGCAGAAGGAGATCCAGGTTGAAATCTGGCTTAACTCAAGCTAATTTTAAGGATTTTCTGTATAGATTATTCATAATGTCAGGCCAAGAATTTAAATTATTTTAAGAGAGGCATTTAATTCTAATAAACCAACTATTACAAAAATTCTGAAATGATCTCTGTTTTTCCTGTCAGAGATTTAAAAAACTGAAAAAGTATATACCTCAGCCAGAAAATAAAAGTTTGGTTTAGTTTGGTTTGGTATGGCTTGCTTCCTTTCTTTTTTAAAATTGTCCTATATTGCCAGTGTATTGTGCAAAAGCATAATAGTCATTGTGTTTCTGATGAAATGAAGACTTTAAATCAGTAAGCAGTACTTTACCTTTCAAGACAAGAGCAAATTACTTGCCAGTAGTTTTAAAAAGAAATTCTCCAGTATAGGCAGTCTTCTCTCCAAACAAAATTTCCCATTTACTTAATTTCTTCCTTTTGAATATTATATATGTGTGAGTATAAATATCTTTGTACATGTCCAGTTGACCACTATACACATATATATGAAGATATAATGGTAGTCAAAAGGAAAGATGTATTAAAACATAATATAATAACTCATTTAAAAAATGTTTTAATTATATGATTCTCATATATGAAACTCTTATCACCAGCTAACACTAAACAGAAATGGCTAGAAATGTCTTTTTTTTTTTGCTTGCTTGCTTTTTTTCTTTTTTTGTTTTAAGGTATTATACACGAATCATGAGATACTGGCAAAGAGCTTTTAATCCTCTTACGGCAGAAGGTTGATTCTCACACATTACTTTATGCACCTTCTTCCTCATCATTTCCTTTAAATCCATCCCCCTGAACAGCTTTATAAGAGCTCAGTTGATGCTTCTGACTAACCAGAGGAGAGGGCCATGGTTATAAGTCAAGGAGGCATTGCTAGCGGTCTCTGTACTGGTCCCAGATAGTGGTCTGGAATGAACCATAAGGCAGGGATCCTAGGAAAAAGCAGGAGAGGAAGGATCTCTGGTTTTCTTCTCTGGTAACCTCAAATCGTAACTTGAAGTGCTGGGCTGTAGGACTGCAATGTGTAATATCAGTTCATTTATATGCTTAAGTCATTTAAGACCCTGCAGTGGATGCCTAAAAAGAGTAAAACTTGTAACTTGTATTTTTACCTTTCTATAAACACATATGGAATAGACTGACAAACTATTAGTTTAATTTGGGCACTGACTACAAGAATATCTGAGTAGAATAACCATATGAAATAATATATAGAAGCTCTACGTTCAGAACAAACAGATCACCAAAAAAAAGGTTTTGCTGCACCATCTTGCAGTCTGGGGAGTTGACAAGTCCTCATAGTTTTAAAAAATACAATAAAATAAACTCTCCTGGTATGTTAGCAAGAGCTTAAAATTTTTGACTTTAATATTTAAAATGCTTTTGGGAAGACATTATTTTAATGTTTTAGCAAAGGTGACAGACTTCATGTTGCAACTGTATGTATATGTATATATTTTAAGGCAAGGAACACCCACATTTCTTTTAGATCTCCAAAGTCAAACTATTGCTGTTTCTCCTTTAAGCATTCCTTAGATTCCTTTTTCCAAGAACACATTCTCTCCATTTTTCTTCCTTTGGCAGTTTTTATTTTATTCCCCATTATAACTTGAACAAAGATCATTCTCATACAGGATCAGGTGCTATTTCTTTTTTCTTTTGCTTCTTCATCTGTCACCATCATTTTATGCATCAGAACATAGGTGAAGTCAAGAGACTGATTTCCCCAATTGATTCAGGAAGCTTCAGTTACTTTTTCTCAACTTAAATATTAAACTGTTTTCATTGTCCTTATTGAGGTTACGATCCTCAGAAAGCCAGGAATCTTTTCTTTTATTGGAAGAGAACTTGCGTTGTAAAAGAAAATATAATTCATGCTATTCATTCTTTGCTGTTTTTATGAATAAATTTTCCATAGGGGAATTTACAGTGTATTTAAAGGAAGAAAGATAAAATGATTGGTCATCTTTTGTACTAAGTACAGAAATAAGGAAATGTCCATTTTTGTTTTAAAACTTCTTTTCCCCATGAGGTTCTCATTGAGCCAACTTTCATATGTATCTAGCCTGAAGTTTGGAAATTTGTGTTGATATCAGAAAATCAGACATATTAAACAGAATTGCTGTGTGTGGTTGATCTTCATATGGATCGACTCATCACATCACATTAATTTTTGTATCAATCCATGTCAGTTAATTAGGGAAATGTTTTAGTTGTTTTTCTCTCCCGATTAATGGTGAAACTCAAGTATGATATTTCTTTAAAGGGTTGTGCCTCCAAATATTTTTGGTGAGGTTGGCTGTTTTCCATGTTCATCGTTTTATGCTACTGCCTTTTAAAAAGAACTAGTGTATCTTTGAAATAGCACAAAAGTGTTTTAAAATTCATAATTATAAAACAACCTGTGACTAACTTAATGTCTTCACATCTAGGAGGTGTAAAAATACTGATATTTCAGTGATACTTCACTTGCTGCCAGAAAAAAATATTCTCAGTCTTTTGTAAAAGGAAGGAGGATTTTTGCATACATTTTTACTCTTTAAATAAAGACACTTATACAGTCATAATAACAATTATGTATTGCTTTGTGGTTTTTATTTTTTTTGTAATTTTACATGGAACAGTTATTTTCTATTTTTACTCAGATAAAAAATATTTGTGCATAAAATGTAAAAATAGTAAAATGAGAAAAATAAAACTATTATACAGTATATTTCTGTGTTTTTGGAAGTTTTTTTCCTGCATAAAAAAATAGTCTCAAGTTCCTGGAGTATTAGGTTGGATGAAAATATGACAGTCTACATCTGCTGTATTGAACATGAGAGTCCCATATACTTAAAAACTATCAATTTGGGAAGAACAGATTCCACTGAACTAAAATTAGATGTTAGAGTTTAGTCTTTAAGAAAATAAATGAGGGCTCCTGGGTGGTTCAGTTGAGCATCCAACTTCTGATTTTGGCTCAGGTCATAATCTCCCAACAGTCTTGGGATCGAGCCCCTTGACAGGCTCTGCACTCAGCAGGGAGTCTGCTTGAGATTCTCTCCCCCTCTCCCCTGCTTGCACGTTCTCTCTCTCTCTCAAAATAAATAAACTTTTAAAAAAAGAAATGAAATCCCATCCACAGAGCCAAACTGTTTTAGAATAGAAACAGAAAAAATGGTAACACTGATTCCTTGTCAAAAGGCAAGCCAATGGCTGTTAAAGTAGAAATTTTTAGTAAACCTTTTTTAACTAAAAAAAAAATTACCTGTTTATGTTTCTGCATAACAGCAGGATGCTTCAGCCAGGACCAGAGTTTGTGGAATCAAAGGGGTCAGGGGAAAAGGTGCTATATGTTTTTTTTGTTTTTTGGGGTTTTTTTTAAGATTTTATTTATTTATTTGACAGAGAGAGAGAGTACAAGCAGGCAGAGAGGCAGGCAGAGGGAAAGGGAGAAGCAGGCTCTCCGCTGAGCAGGACCCTGGGATCATGACCTGAGCCGAAGGCAGACGCGTAACGACTGAGCCACCCAGGCGCCCCGGTGCTATATGTTATTTATGGTCAAGCAATATCAAACGCTGATTGACATGTTTACAAAATTATGGTTTGAGTGAAACAAACTGCTTTAAAAACACAAAACCTAATTTTATCTAGTTTGAAGTAATGAAAATAATCAGAAAATTAGATATATTCGTAATCCCAAAACACTGATTTTTTTTTGGTGTGTGTATGACTTTAAAGCTTAATTTGCAAGCTAAGCAGATGTTTAAAAGGCTTTTTACTACAAGTAAACTGATTTAAAACACTTAGACTGATTTTAAAACCCATGGTGAAGGACCACTTTTTTATTTCCAGTGTGTCACAGACTGAAACTCTTAGAAAACGTGATTTCCCGGTGGGGGAAATGGGGAGTTGTTTAATAGGTATAGAGTTTCAGTTTTGCAAGATTAAAAATTCCTGGATATTGATTACACAACAGTGTGAATATACTTTCCATTACTGAACTGTACACACTTAAACAAGGGTAAGATGGTAAATTTTATGTATATTTTACCACAATTTAAATGTTTTTAAAAAAATGAATCACTAGGAGAATTTAATAACTCAATGTAACTCACCAATTTATACAATACAGGGAGACAAAGCTGATTATCCCAATAGCTGTAGGAAAAGTATACAGTAAAATTTAACATTCATTCATGATAAAAATTGAGCAAACTAGAATTAGAAGGGAACTTCCCTAACGTGATAGAGTGTCTGAAAAACCTGCAGCTAACATCATACATAATAGTTTGTCTTCCTTCTAAAATTTGGGGAAAGACACATACCAGCTGTCACCATTTCTATTCAACACTATATTGAAGATCCTAGCCTGTGAAGTAAGAAAATTAGCATACATATTGTAAGAAGGAAAACTGCAGAAGACATCAAATATTGAAAATCCTAAATAATAGACTTTTTTTAAAAACTAGAATTGAGGGGCGCCTGGTTGGCTCAGTC